CCACCAACGCAATGGTACCCACCTTGGAAATGGGTCACCTCTACTTCCTACCTGCCTCTGGGGAATGGGGTGGTGGGATGAGAGAGGAGAGTGGCCAAAAGCTGGGGCCTCCTGTGAAAAGACATCTGAAGTATTTGTGTCATTGTCCTAATCTCTGCAGAACACCGACTGGGCCACACTGTCATCCCATGCATGCTCCCCTATCAGGCCCTTCCCTAATGGTCAATGCAAGTCATGCCTCCATGTTAGAGGTATTAGCCACAGCATTAGCCAATCAGCCCAGAAACTGCCCATGGGCCCTCTGGGCAGAGCATAGGGAGGCTGGAAAAGCAGCTGCCCCTGCCCTAAGGACATCTCACGGCTGGACTTCAAAGGTCACTGTTTCCAAGGACACTGGCTGAGCCAAGCAGTTTCCCCTTTCCTCCAGCTCCACTTCCCTTGGCCCTGCAGTGTCCTGTGGGGGAGCAGCACACCTGGATGCTCCTCCAAACACTGGTCCTCCACCAGCCCTGGCCCGGTTGCCCAGGTCTGGACTGGGATGCCACCTTCCCAGACGCCCTGGCAGGCACTCTAGGAGAAAACTAAGGAGCTCAGACTCTGGCACTGCCACTGCTTAGCTGTATGACCTTAGGCAAGTTTCTCAACTTCTCTGTACCTATCTTCCCATCTGTAAAGGGGGGGTGATAGTGCCTGTGAAATAGGGCTGGAATGAAGACTCAGTAAGTTAATATATAAATACGTAATATATAATAATAAAGCCCTTAGAGAAGTGGCTGGCACATAGTAAGGACCATATAGCTGTCCTCATCATTACTGTATGTATCTTCCTCAAGGTCTCATAGATCTTCACCTCTTTGGTTGTCTGTGGCCATGCCGTACACTAGATGAGAACCCCTAATTCAACACCTAGAGACCACAAAGACTCGCCTTCCCAAGGATCTCACCTCTTTTACACTCTCTTTGTCTTGGGGTAAAAGTGTTGACAAGGGACGAGGAGGGGGCATGACAGCCTTGAGAGGTTCACGGGCCATCCCTTCTACCCGCTGAAGCCACACTGGTGTCACAGAGGTGGGAGGTGACTTCTCCTAAGCAGATGCTCCTCAAGGGTGCTGAGACCTTGGGCATGTCACTTTATTCTGTGAGCCTGTTTCCTTATTGCTAATGTGGAAGGCTCAGACTGAATAATCTCCAGTTTTCTTTCATTTAAGCACTGACATTTCTGGATCTGGCTTCTAAAAGATCTCTGAGTTACCTGTGGATGTTTGTAATCCACACCACCTGAATTCAGAGCAGCGGAATATGCCTGATAGAGGAAAACCCTGAGCAGACACGAGCAGCCTCGGGGAGGCACACGCTGAGCTGATTCCCATCAGAATCATAAAAATGAAGTTCTCCACATAAATGGGCAGGCTTTCCACGTGCCTGACTCTTACTTTTCTAAAGTGCCAGAACTTAAAACTCAAAGCTGTAGAACATTAGAAAGGAAAAGAGCTTTAGTGTTCTCAGAAACTGCCCCACCCCCTTTTAAGGCAAATTTTCAGGAAAACCGTTATAAACTGAATTTTTAAAAAGATCAATGGGCTTCCAGTCAAGATGGCAGAATAGACAGTCCCTAGCCTCACTCTGTCCCACAAATCAATCAATTTACAACTATTAAAAGCAATGACAGCCAAACTGGGGCTGCTGGAGCTCAGGGGAAGAGGAAGAGAGACCTGCAGAGTGCATGAAGGTGGGAGAAGCCACGATGAGAGAAAGGACCACTCCCACCATTTCAAGCCCCAGCCACTTCAAGGTCCTGGTGAGCACATGCAGCAGAAGCTGGCAAAAGCCACGGCTGTGTCCTTCAAGTGAAGTTGCTTGGAGGCTGGGAGAAGAGGGCGTTGGTGGCCCCCAGGCCAGCAAGACCACTGACAGGGATCCTGTGGACCCACACAGGAGGGAGGAGCCAGAACAACTGAAAAAAGGAGCCACTCAGAGGCTGATGAGTCATCACAAGGGACCAGTACAGGACCCATCCCATGGGAAGTGTTTGGAGCATGGGTGGTGGGGGGAGACAGGCCACTGGGGCACAGCATGGACAGCTGATCTGCCCTGCAGTCAGCACAGGCCCACTCAGTGGAGACTGGTTGGGAACATAGAACTGCAGGGGAGCTGTTTGCTGAAAAGACTGAGGCCCAGACCAGAGTTTCTGTACAACCCCAGTGTACCAGATCTCACAAAACCCACAAGTACATACAAGGTCAACAATAAAAATCTGAGCTGCAAAAAAGCCTTCCCCAGGGAATCAGCAGCAAAGCAACAATTTAGCTCAACTATAAGGCTCAAGTGCTGGTCCCCACAGGAAGTTCCCCCATTTTAGAAGTAAGCAAAGGACAGCAAATTAGTTCCAGTGCAGGTTTAAGTGGTGGGAACAGCGAATAATCCAACACAGAATTGGAAGAAAAAAGAAACACCCACAGACCAGAGACAAAGTTTGGTACTAACTAGTAAAGGTCTCACATCACCAAAGAACANGTCCCCACAGGAAGTTCCCCCATTTTAGAAGTAAGCAAAGGACAGCAAATTAGTTCCAGTGTAGGTTTAAGTGGTGGGAACAGCGAATAATCCAACACAGAATTGGAAGAAAAAAGAAATACCCACAGACCAGAGACAAAGTTTGGTACTAACTAGTAAAGGTCTCACATCACCAAAGAACAGTTTAAGTGGTGGGAACAGCGAATAATCCAACACAGAATTGGAAGAAAAAAGAAACACCCACAGACCAGAGACAAAGTTTGGTACTAACTAGTAAAGGTCTCACATCACCAAAGAACACCTAAAAACCCTAAAAGGACCGGAAGCCCCCTGGGCTCCCAAGCCAGGGATGGGGTAGGGCTGGGGGCCTCAGCCAGGTCCCCCAACACCCACAACCAGCCCAGCGATGAGCACCGAGCCATCACAGAAAGCACACTGGGCTCCCTAGCTGGGATGGTGTGGGGTGGAGGGCTTTAGCCGCAACCCCCCGACATCTGCATCCAGCCCAGCAATAACTGAGCCACCACTGGAAGCCCCCTCATCTCCCCTGCAGGAATGAGGGGGGTGCCATGGGCCTCAACCACACACCCCCTCCTTCCTCCTCCTCCCATCCTATTTCCTTCCCCCTCCCCTTCTCCTCCTCCCCCAACTGCTCTGCAACATCATCTTAGAATGTAAAAATAATATTAATAAATAAACTTAAGAAATTTACCATGGAAAAAATAAAAATAAAAATGATAAGTGGAGGAAGAGAGCAAACTTAGTTGGGAAGACTATTAAGGAAAGCAAAGAAGCAACTACACTAGAGTTGAACTAGCAGCTCCCTCCAAGGGCCTCTATGGGACATGGAAGGGGGGCTGCAGCGGGATGTGGGGGTGGGCAGTGCTCAGCTCTGACCGGAACATTGGTTATAAGAATAACCACTGTACAAAGTGCTGTCTGTGCACTTGTAATTTGTGTACGTTATATATGTGTGTGATACTTCTCTGTAATAAGGGATTCAAAAGAGCAGCAAATGGGTTGCTTGGGCAGTTCTAATAGCCACTGTTTGCTATGAAATGCTTCTTGTGTGCAAAGATGAACAACTCGAAAGCCACTGATCTGCCTGCCCCTCATTTTATCAGCGTGTCATGGTGGCCTTGGAGATGTGCCGCTTGGGTGGATCTCCCTCAAGAGAACCCACTGTGGGTAGAAATTTCCCCCCAGACTGACATCTTCCAGTGACTGTCCCGTGCACCCCAAGGCTACAATGACCCTGGGCCATTACCAGGCAGAGACTAAACAGAGCAGAGGAAGGAGCATGGCCCGTTCCTGCCAAATGCAGGACTCTTCTAAGGAATTTTGCTTGGGGCCTCCCCGTAGGCCTGGTTGAGATTGTCTCAGAATTGCACTGCAGTTTGAGGCTCTTCCTACTCAGTCCAACCAGGCAACAAAACCATTGGCTTTGTCCAGCCAGGTCGACCTGTGCCCTCAGGCCTGCTGGACATCCCCACACCACTTGCTTCCTCTACTGCTGGCCTGTCCACTAGGCACCTAGCCCAGGCCTGATGAAGGTGACAAAGCCCAGGCCAGGGAAGGCAGGCAGCCTGGCAGCTCAGAGATGCCCCCTCTACCCATGCTCTGGGGAAGCCCAGCCTCCTGCCCTGGTATGGTCCTAAGGTGGCACTCACTAAGGGGCACTGATCAGCTGCACTGACCTGGGGAATCTCCATGACAAGGATTAATCCTCACCCCACCCCACACCACCAAGTGCCATAGCTGCAGGATGAGAGCAGTGAATGGAATGGAGGGGTAGGGGAGAAAGACCTTCCCAAGTCATCTGTAAGGCAAACAAGAAAGGAGGAGAGAGGGAAGGGGACAGCCTCAGACTGAATATGTGCAAAAGCTGCAGAAGTCCTCAGGAATGTCAGAGAATGGGAGCAAAGAAACTTGATGCCTCTTTGGGGCACTGGTTTCACCTGGGAACTTGTCAGAAATGCAAATTCTCAGGCCCAGACCTCCTCAGTCAGATGCTCTGGAGGCAGGGAATAACTAGCGATCTGTGCTTTAACAAGCTCTCTGATGCATGCTCAAGTTGGAAAACCCTGTCTCCAGAGCAGGGGTCAGCAAACTTACTTTAGAAAGGGCCAGATAGTAAATACTTTAGGCTTTGCAGGCCATATAGTCTCTGCTACAATCACTCAGCTTTGCCTTTGTAGCATGAAAGCAGCAACAGTCAATATGGAACAAGTGAGAGCATGTCTGAGTTCCAACACCAGTTTCTGCATAGAGCAAGCAGTGGGCCACATTTGCCTCATGGGCTGTAGTATGCTGATTCATGGGCTAGCACATCCGTGTGCACACTCAATCCTGTCTTTGAACAGGACATGTATGTGGCAGAAACACATTTGTGGCAGAAAACAAAGTGTTTACAAACCATATAAAGATCTGTTATCAAATTAGGCTCTTGAGCCTCAAAGTCATAGAAATGAACAATGCACCTAGCAGTAAGGCAAGCTATACTTTATTGAAAGACAAGACAGACTTGCACATAAGGGAGGTAGCAATAGGGAAGCTAGCTCCCTCAGGGGAGCTGTTCAGGATCCTTTATAGGGCAAGGGGGCGAGGGGGCAGGAAGTGCAGGCCAGTAGCATCATTCTGCCCTCTGGAGGTGGTCCATTCTGCTCTTCCTAGCTGTGTCATGGATGCATGCTCAGTTAAGGCTTTGCTCCTTGCGCCTGCTCAGTAGGTCCAAGATTTTGGTGTTGCTCATTGTCATCACCCCAGGAGGGCCATTGTAGCAGTCACCTTGAAGCTTTGTGCACATGCAGGAGTCAGCTAGCTGCCTAGTAGAAGTTGGGGAAAGGTTTTTTAAAGGCAAGCGGTTCCTCAATTGATGTCAGCATCTTGCTTTGATGATTTCTGGTATTTTTATAGTGGTTGCAAGGGAGGTCAGTTCCGGGAGCATCATGTGTGTAGCTCCTAAATGGGACTTACGGTTAATCTGTAACTTAATTTTTACAATTTTGGGAAAAGAAAGAATGGGTAGATAATGATAAGTTTTAAACAAAGTGAACAGTTGTACTTTAACAAGCCTCGTGGAAGAGGTTTTGGAACTCCGTAAATATGTTTTCTCCTCTTATCTCAGTTTATTTCATCAGAGCAGTTATACCCAATTGGCCTCTTTCGGTCACTTTTATCAGGGCCATGGGATAATCACATGCCCTGGGGTTCTCATGACTGAGGAGTGGGAAAGTAACAAAATGTCCCTGTGGGGAAAACGGAGTTGGATTGGTTCACAGGCCTAGCCCTAGCCTGTCTCATTCCCCCTGAGAGATTCCATCCTCCTTATTCTTAAGGAGAAAAGAGCTGAAGGTCTCTATTCTGAACCTCCTTCCTGCTGGCCATGGGTGTGTCCCTGCCTACCTGCCGGAGGTGTAAAGATCTCTCGCTGACTGATCAAGTGATTTATAGGGACTCAGTTCCTCATGGGAGGAGACAGGTTGGAATCCTCGTGGCACCATCATCTTGATGGGCAGCTGCTGGAGCCTAGAGGATACAAACTTTACCAATAGATTAAAAGACAGTACTAGAATCTAGTAACAGATGCACTATAGTTTTCTTTTGAAATGTAACTGTCTTCTCTGCAAGTTGCCTGTTTTTACCAAAGATATTTATGAGAAGACTAGGATATTTGCAAAATAAGTTTAGTTTCTGGCCAGATTATTTACATAAAGTTCAGCAAGAATAATGATTTATCATATACACTCTCTTCGAGTTGGCATTGCTGGGACTTTTATAAGGAATCTCAGCTTAGCCCTACAAAATTCTCTTGGGACTTAGGAAGCCAAGCCAAGAATTTGACTCACTCTCTGATTACCCATACAAGTCGAATTAATTCCTCTCTTCTGGAGGTCTCCAAAATATCAAGGTTCGTGCCTGTCAGGAAGTTATATTCTGTACCTACCTCAAGGCCAGGAACCTTGCAATCACGTAGACAAGTTATCAGGCCAGTTTTTCCAAGGAGCTTTTTATTGGCTCTGTAAAAATGTCAGCCTCAAATTCTTAAAGCAGGAGTCTGGTCATATACGACATTCCAGTTAAAGCTTTGGTAAAATAACCAGTGTCTCCAATTGTGTCCTGTTACAAGAAGAACAGATTCTTATTGAACTTACGTAAATAACAATATTGCCATATAATAAGAATACTGACGAATAGTTTCAAAATCCTGGAAGGATCAAGTAGAGAGAAAAGTAAATACTTCAATTTTTGCTCATAAACACATACATTATCAAGTAGCTACAGATTAAAAGTTTTTCTTAAACATGAAAACAAAACATTAGCTACTCAACATAACCCTAACAAGGTAGGTCCTGGTAGCATCCCCCTGTCACAGATGAGATCACTGAGCTCCAGAGAGTAGGAGGTGGAACTGACCCCCGAGGCCAGGCTCTCTGGCTCCAGCATCAAGCACTTGACCCCCCACTAACCCAGCCCTAGCTCTGGACCCTGAAGACACCCTCTCTCTCCCCAGTCTGGCTTTGTCACCTCCGGGAGGGAATGGTTTGGGACCTATTCCTTGCATCCTTGCCTGGTCAGGACATACCATCTGTCAGCCAACCCTTGGGCCTGGCACATGGGACAGGACTGGCCAACCAGAGCCCCGAGAAGAGTGGAAGACACAGGCTGAGGAGGAAGGTGCACGGGCAACCCAGAGAAGCTCCTAAGGACCAGGGCAGCTGGCTTCAAAGCCCGGGCCCAGGGGCCGTGTCCTCGTCCTCTCCTCTGCACAGCTGCCATTTCCAAGCCATCCAACTGCCTGAGGGGCCTGCCCAGCCAGCCCAGGTGTGGCTGCCAGCTCCCAGCTGACAAGAGGGTGACAGGATGGAGGTAAGTCCCGGGCCTCGCTGCCTACCCCACCAGTCCGTCCTCACCCGTCCCCAGAGCAAACGTGTCCTGAGGGAAACCCCGTGCCTTGTTCTTAGGAAAGAGCAGCTGCCACCACTCGTACCCACATCCAAATCTGTCTCTAGGAAGAAAGCAATCCAGCCATCTAGGGGGAAAGCACCTCAGTGAAATGTTCCAGAAAAAGAAACTAATCCACGGTGGTTTTACACCCGTCCCTGTCCGTGTCTCCACCGGAGGCCTGGCCTAACCCTCCGAGGTCCCTGGTGGAGCCACAGGAGCTCACAGCAGCCACCCACTTTGTGAACGTGACTGTGGGGGCTGACTCGCCGACGTAGCGAATCGCTGAGAAGCGAGGCTTCCTTTGGACGCGCCTGGTGCCCCTTCTGGACTCACCCTTAACTACTGTGGGGAAATTATCCCTGCAGGACTGAGCAGCCACGGACAGTGGCTGACAAGACTCAATGAGCACCCGAGAAGGGGGTTTCAGGGTTCACAGTCCACGACCCACCCCCACGACTGCAACTGACATGGATGTCCCAGGCATTCATTTAACCTTCACACCAACCCCACAGGTGGGTGCAGCACTATCGTCCCCATCGACAGGTGAGAAACTGAGGCCCAGGGAAGGGAGGTAGTGGACTCAGACTCGCACAGTTAGCTGAGATGGGAGCAGAGCCCAGGCAGCCTGGATCCAGAGCCCTCGCTCCTCAGCCCCATGACTCCAGGCTCCCAAATGACAACCGCCGGTGGCACTGACTTCATGCCCAGCAGTGTTTGAAATACTTTTCATCCGTTATCCCATCCAATCCCCACAGGGAGGATATTGTTATCTTCATTTTGCAGATCGTGGAGAAAACCTAGTCGAGGTTACTCTCTGTGTCCACAGCACACACCAGTGAGTGACGGTCTGAGATGTGGACTCTAACTGATCCCGAAGCCCACGTGTGATGGTTAATTTTAGGTGTCAACTTCATTCGATGGAGGAATACACAGAAACCTGGCAAAGCAATCTTTGTGGGTGTCTGTGAGGGTGTCTCCAGGAGAGATTAGTACATGGGCCTGAGTGGACCAGGTGGGAAGGACCTGCCCTCTCTATGGGCGGGCACCATCCAATCCACGAGTGGCCCCGAGAGAACAAGAACGGAGGGAAAGGCGAGCATCTCTCACCATCCACTGCAGCTCGGACACAGTCTTCCCACCTGTCCGTGGGCATCTGAACTCAAGACTCTTGAGCCTTGGGATTCCAGGACTTACACCAGTGGCAACCCCAAATCTCAGGCCTTTGGCTTGGATTGAGAAGCTCACCATCAGCTTCCCTGCTTCTGAGGCTTCTGTTTGCACTGAGCCACATACCACCTTCCAGTTTGCAGGCAACCTCAGCCTTCATAATAACATGAGCCAATTCCTGACAAGCATCTGGTTGTCATAATCCAGTGCACACCATCCCTGCCAATTGGTCTGACCTTTACCACCTTGCTTCTCGCTTCTCCTACTTTCAAAATCTGCATTCTCACTGACCCACACAGAAAAGCAGAAGAATAGAGTCGCATCAATAGACAACTATCTTGACAGAAAAGAAATCTGCGAAGATCGAGTCTAGGAGCTCTAATCGGAGCTACAATACTGACCCACAGGATGGAAAGGGAATGTCCACGGCCTGTCCAAGCCCCGGCAGGGCATGCCTGGACTCGGGGGTGAGCCACCATCACATCCAGGATGAGGTGGAGGTGGCTGGACGAAGAGGATGCAGAGAATCCACACTGATCACTCAGGAGCCAAGCTGAGTGGCCCAGTTCCCATGCGACTGAGCACAGCAGTCCCCGACCCTGTAGGCACGGCCCCCAGGGAGCAAGGCTTTAGGAGAAGGGCCTGGGGCTCAGCTTGTAGCACATCTTCCCAGCAGGAGCCCAGACCACCCTGTTAAAGAGCAGACTGGGTGAGATGCACGTGGTTGAAGGAACAGAGCCCCTGAGGGGGCTCTTCCAGACTGACGAGGCCGAACGTACCCATGGTTTGGGGAATGTGGCCTCGGGATCTTGCTTCACATTGAACAAAGCCTTGAGATATCACTGACTTTCAGCACGAGACTGACGTACAACGACTTAACCGTGAGCTTGGGTGTGGGAGTGTCTGCGTGTGTCATCTGACTCTCTTCCTGGAAGGTAACCTCCAGATGTCTGGGACTGTGGCTGGACCTCCCCCTTGTCCCCAGGAGCCCAGAATAAAGCTGGGCGCTGAGCACGAGCTTGGGAGTTACCTGGGGGGTGTCCGATAAGCCAGCGAGCACTTAGGCCTAAAGGGGAACCGCTTCACTCCCACTCACAGCAGGCTTCTCATCCACACCCCGGCCACCCGCAGCCCCTGCCCCTCACCACCTGCCACGAGGCTGGCTGCGCCCGCCCGCCCGCCTACCTGCCGCAGCGCCTCCACCCCCTCGCTGGCCGCCTTCTTCTCACACGTGCTGCTCTTGAGCTTGGACTCGGCCAGCTCCACCTCGGTCTGCAGCTTGTCCAGCTCGGAGATGACCTGGTCGCGCTCGCTCATGATGAGCTTGTACTCGCTGTACACGGCATCGCGCTCTTCTTTGTACTTCTCCGACTCCTTCTCGGTTTTCACCTGCATAGTCCTCAGCTCCGTCAGCTCCGACTGCAGCAGCTCCATCTCCCACTGCAGGTCCTTGTTCTGGGCCGTGGCCTTGTTCAGCTCGTGGTGGATGGCCTCAAACCTGGGGGAGAAAGGCAGCCAGGACGTGGAGGGGTGCAGGGGGCCTGCCCGGTCAGCTGCCGGGCTGCTCAGCCACCTCCCGCCAGCTCCGCAGTGCTGGATGGTCCAGCGTGACAGTTACGGTGAGGTCATTCTCTGCAACACCCTCTCCCCAGCGAGAGAGGAAAGGCACAGAGCACCAGTGCCCCTGGACCTGGAATCTTTCTCAGCCTTTGACAAAGGCAGAGGATGAAGTGAGGACTTCATGCCCTCTGCTCTACTAGAAATGACAGCACGTTTCTTCCACAGCCAAGCTACATTATTTTTCAGAACTCATGAAAACAAAACAATGCCAGATCACAGCATGTGGGAGATCCACGTGGCCTTGATGATCATTTAGTCTGACCACTTCATTTCACAGATACAGACAGTGTGGAGTGGTCCCATGGCTGACCCCACCAGTCATTCCACCCAAGGGACTGGTCCGAGCCCATCTCAGACATTCTAGGTCCCTTACCAGGGATCAGGTTAGGCTGGCCCATCTCAAACCTGGAGGACTGTTAAGTCACAGATGCCTGACCCCACCCTTAGAGTTCCTAATGCAGCAGACGTAAGGAGAAGCTCAAGACCCTGCATTTCTAACAGGTGCCCAAGGGGTCCAGGGACCACGCTTTCTGAGCCACTAGTTTGGGCACAGACAAAAGACCCAATCGTGGTTGATAAGAGGTGACCATGCTGGGGGACTCTGGATAAGGTTCTCGTGTTCCTAAGGAGACACCAGAGCAGCCAGCCCTCTTCTTCTGCCACTAGCCACAGGTGACTGCAGAGCACGTGGGATGAGCTTAATGTGACTGAGAAACTGGAAGTTTACATTCCACTTCATTTGGATCCATATACAGGTAAATAGCCTCCTGTGGCCAGAGACTCCCATTTTGGACAGTGCAGCCCTGAACACTGTCAGGTTTGGATGTGATGGCTGGAACTGCTGCCACAGACCCTCTTCCAGGAGGCTGAGGGGGAAGGCACCCCACAGAGGAGGGCAGTGCCCAGCTTGACCTCTGCACTGCTCAGATGTGAGGGCATACATTTCCTGATGGGTTAAGGCAGTGTGAGTAGGTCTTCTCTGTTGCTTGCACTCAAAGGACAACGTCCCCCACAAGCAGAAGAGCGAGAGAAGCTAAACTCGGTTCCCATGAACTCGGTTGACCGAAGGGATTCAACCAGTTCTTCCAGCACTGAGGAGCTGGGCACAACCAGTGAAGGCTCGACCTGCCGCAGGAAGCACATTCCAGCCTGGCTCTCTGCCTGTCTGTGAATCCCGAGAAGTATCTGGGAACAGGGCTGACCCTCTGTTGCACACTCTTTCCCTCATTTCCCAGGACCCTTGAAGAACACTAGGTGTCCCTTCCTCCCAGCTTCTCCCTCCCTGTCTCAAGGTCTCACCCGACACATCAGGCTCAGAACATTATGTAAGCATCGAGGGGGTGAGGCCAGATGGGCACTCTCCCTTGTCCAATTCCAGCCCAAACTCTCCACCTGCTGAAACCCCAGGATTTATGCTGACTATCTCATGCACAGAAATGACTACGAACAATTCCCAGAGCAGAAGAGGAATCTTTTCTTATCCCCAACCCCACAGGGTGGGCGCAAAGCAGCGCTTCGAGTCTGGTTCTACGTTAAAACAGCTTTAAAAATATATATTTTTAAATCACATTCCCTGTTTTCAACTGCCTAAAATAAAACAAGAAATGCTAGTACCTCACACATCCCCAGGGATACCCAGCTCCCACCCATACACATGCAAGTCTTCTCTGGCCTTCTCTGAGGGGCTATTTAGCATTTCAGTAGCACCTCCTCTGCCAGGGAAACAAGCTCCTTGTGACAGGCTCTGAATCCCTGTGCCACTTTGCCTGGTTGCTCTCTACACTTTGTCTCAATTCTAACAGCTCCATCTGCCACCACAGTAGTGACTGCAATACAGAGTCACTCCACCTGTAGTTTCTATTATATGAAAAATGAAATTAAGACACAGAATACTGTGTATGCTACCTTTTGGGTGAGAAAGGGGATAGGAATTCATACATGATTTAGCTGGTATCTACAGAAAGAAGCAGTAGGAATAAAGAAATCAATAAAAATGTGTTCTCTTTTGGGGATGTGGGGTGGGACAAGACCAAGATGTCCCAGTTTATACATTTTTATATCTTTTCTACTTTTGAAGAAAAAAAAAAAGCTCCAGGAAGATCTGGTCACCAAATCCTTCTAGAGAGGTCTCCTAAGCCAAGCAGGCACTGTCAGTTCTGTCCACAGAAATCCTGAAATCTTTTATCACCCTACCCCCACCCATCACTGACGTGTGACCTGCGATGTCCTTTCCTGCAATAGGAAAGTCAGGCCTCCACCCAGTCCTGGGGGGTCATCCTTTTTCTGCCAGCCCTTCCCACAGACGGGTGCACTCACCCACACGGAGACGCCTATCCCCACTGTGGGCTCCTGGCTTTTTTTCATCCCTGCATTTTCCTGTCCCGCAGACTGGGTCATTGTCATATCTGACTATCTCAACAAGCTTAAGGGCATGAAGTATATCCCGGGAGAAGTCTCCATGTCAGAGCCCACATACCTGATGCTGTGAGCTGATGCAGAGACAGGCATGGTGTCATGGCTGCTGCTCCTAGTGTCCTTTCTGGGGCTTTGAGCCCAGCATATGGTGATGGCTGTGTCTCGTTCCACCAATTGTCTGCTGTGGAATGACTGGGGAACCTTGTGGGTGAGAGTTTCATACCTTACTGTTGGGTGCCTGATGACAACTGGGTACAAGTCAAGGCTTCTGGGAGCCTTCTTAACCTGTTCTGCTGCAGCCAGGAATGGCTGAATCTCCATGGCCACTGCAGGGATAGCGATTGTCTCATCCAGACATTGGTCTGGGCACCCCCCGCTGTGCTAGCTGTGGTCATCTGGGATGTGTGGCGGCTATCTCTATCTGCTCAGCTAGTTCCTTCTCTGAGAACTAGAATGACATAATGATGCCCAACATGACAGATCCCACCGAAGGCTGCACAATGACCCTATCAAGAGTTGGGACAGAGTTGGGAGTGATCAAGAGAGTGAGTCTGTCAGTTCCTGCTTGTGGATAGTTCCAGCATAGAGGCTTTAAACCTCTTGGTACCTGATCAGCATTGGCCATTGTAGATCCAGCAGGGCTGCCGAAGAGCGTCTCAGGAACACAGGTGCACACTGACACATCCCTCGCAGTCAGCTCCCCCTGAGCTCCCTTCCTGTGCACAGTGGAGAATGAACCAATGTTTGCTGACCCGGTAGGTGGGCTGTAAGTGGTAACTCTTGACCTCCTGTTCATACCAGCAATATCGAGAGCATGACAGAATCCATCTATTATGCCAAATAAGAAGCTGCACCTGTGGACAGCAGTATCAGCCGTGACCGTGGGGTTCCATTCTGCTCGAGCTCTTCCCTCCCCGACCTGTGGACAGCAGTGTCGGCCAGTGCCTGTGGTCTTCCTGTCTTCACTACCAGCCCTGTGGACTTTGGACTTGCTTAGCCAGAACCCACCATCACAGAAGCCAATTCCTTGTAGCTTATATATACATTTATGTATATATTATGTATATACATTTATGGGTATGTATTATGTATATACATTGTGTGTGTGTGTGTGTGTGTGATCCTGATTTCTACAGGTTCTGCTTCTCTATCGAAAGCCTGGCTGACACATCCACAGACTGGAAGGGGATGCTGCTGTTGAAAGGAACAAGGCATGTATTTTAGTCCCTCCAAGATCCCCAAAATGATAGTAACATAATATACAGTAAAGAAATACAAAAAGGTATCAACCTTCCTTCTGGGTTAAGAAAGCAGATGGATACATAAGCTTATTTTCTCCTCTCTTAAAACACCATTAAAAACAGAGACAGTGGGAAAGGATTTCTTTGAAAAAGACATAACTGTAGAAATACAGGGAGAGCAGAAAGGTAACCACCACAAAATCATTTTAGAAGCTGAAAAGCAGAGAGAGCAGTGGCAAATAACTTAGCAGACCTGAGAATACCACATCCAAAACCAGCAGAGGAAAATGCTACTAATCTTTAAATACGAGGAGCTGTGGCTTTGTTGCTTCTAGAACCTGTGGATAAGGGGTAGCTTAAATGAGGAATGGGTGAGAAACAGATTTCTAGATTCCAAGCTACCAGGCTATGGCCTCTCCCTCAACCCGGCAGAAGCCAGAAGGCTTATTCCCTAGAGAGTGTAGGAAGATTTCTAGACTGGGGGATCCAGCACAGATCAGATAAGTGGTGCCATGCTGAAAACAGGAGGAGGATATGACTGCACGTTGCCACGTGGAGTGCTGAACCAAGGAACCCGAGCCTTCCTCCCCACCTGGAGCGTGGATGCTGACAGGTTGACTCCTCCAGTCAGAAGAGGAAGTATTCCTTTGGGGAATCTGACAAACCCCCGAAGAAAGCCTAAAGAGAGTCCCCAACGAACAGCCCAACCCAGCCATCCTCCAGCGAAACTCAAAGACTACACTCCTACCATTTGGTTTGGACTTTTAAATCTCCCATGCTTAATCCTTAATAGACGCCCAAGGATTGCCAGACTTCTGAGGTTAGAGCCTCTAACATGCAAGATCAAGATCTAGGGAGGACTTTTAAATCTCCCATGCTTAATCCTTAATAGATGCCCAAGGATTGCCAGACTTCTGAGGTTAGAGCCTCTAACATGCAAGATCAAGATCTAGGGATTGGAAGATAAAAGTTGAGTGAACTGGGCTGGCTGGTTAGCTCAGTTGGTTAGAGCATGGTGCTGGTAACACCAAGGTCCTGGGTTTGATCCCTGTACTGGACAACCATCAAAAAGTAAAGATTGAACACAGGAGTAACTGCGGCTCCAGAGAGGAGGGGAGATGCCCCACGGGGGCTGGCACAGTCCTGGCTGTTTGGCTCTCAGGGTCTGTGTGTCCACTCCCAGGCCTCCTGACCCAGACCTTCCCGTCCACACACAAGGATGGACACAGCCTTTGCTAATTTTTTCTCAATCCAGACATTTTCCAGAAAGCAATGCTAGGAGAAGGAAAACCAGTCACCCTCCTGTGGGGAAATCATTCATATCTGGGGTTAACCTTTTCTCCTCTCTGTTTCTTCACAGAAAAGAGGAGATCTGTCAAAGTAGAGAAGAAAAGGAAAATCAAAGGAAGAAATCAAGACCATTCCAGGGACATTCTCAGGAAAATGGAGGAGAGGTGCCAAGGTGAGAACTGGCACCAGATTGAGAGGGCAATGGGTCTGCTTTGGAGACTCAAGACAGGAATGCTGGGAGTTACTGGCGCCAAGATCCCTGTGGCTTCCAAGTGGCTCAGCTGAGGACAGGATGTCAAGGTGATCCTGCCCACACGCTTACTTCTGCTAGGCTCATCTTGACGTGAGTGGACGAACCTCCTGCTCTCCTGATCAGCTGGAGGTTCTCACTTCATCCTGCACAAGTGTTCAGCTTTGACTTACCTCTGAAATCCAGAGGTTGGTTCTGGTGAATGTAAAAACAGAAAACACCAGCCCTGCCCTCTGATCATACTTCCGCCAGACATCAGGACCTGGTCTGTGGACAGCACTGCCACGTGCCCTGACTGTGGCGGCCCCTTGTTCAGTGACGTCCCCAGAAGGGGCTCCTGGAAGTTCCTGGGGAAGCTGAGGTCCACTCTGACCTGGAGATCACATTACCTTCTCTGGCGGACTTCATCCAGTAGCACCAATGTTGTGTTTTCCCTGCACAGCTGTGTTTGTCCCTGATGCCCACTGTTTTCAAAGTGAACAATGTACTGTTTGAAGAGAGCTCCATTGGGGGTAAAATTATACAGAAAAACAAGGAAATTATTATACTATAAGTCAGGCCAGTCAGTGCTCACTGGGGTGGAGAAGGTGGGGAATTCAACTGGGTAGGGACATGCAAGGGCTTCTAAGGCAGACACCCACTTGGCTGCGCCTCACCCACAGCCCCTGCTCCCAGCATGGTCCAGCGGTGGTTTGCAGACGAGGCTCATAAGGGCAGGGACCCCTCAGTGCTATGCAGTGGTGTATCCAGGGCTGCCCTCCAAGGCCTCTCACGGTGTCCAGGAGCAGATGGTCTGGATCTCAGTGACTTCACTGGCTTCTATTTTAAACAAGCTAAGTGTTTTTCCACATGTAATTATAGAAGAAAACCATGTTGACTGTAGAAAACTTGTAAAATACAGAAAAGTCTAAAGAAAACAATAAAATCAGAGGTGCAAACTATTAAGGTTTTGGCATCATAATTGAGCTCTTTAAAAGAAAGAGTTCCTGAAATAAGCAGCCACCCCTCCTCCCATGTGCCTGCTGCCCCTATATGCCAGGTGGTGACTTAAAAGTCCACGGAGCAGCTGCCCCTCTGAAGATGGCTCTGGGCTGGGCTGTCAAGGAGGTGCAAGCAGGCCCTGGGGCTGTGAGCATGTGGCCAAGTGAAGACCGGGCCCTGGGTCCTACTCCTCAACTGCCAGAGCTCTGTGATCCCTGTGTGCACAAGGGAGGTGAAGACTGCAGGGCCATGGAGGAACTTTCTCCAGCAGGAAAGGACCAGGGAAGCACACACATCGAGGCTTCCCCCTCTGGCCCGGCCACAACCCCAGCATGCAGCTTTTGCAGAACACTCTGCCCTCAAGCCCATCCAAGCAGAAGGGGCAGAGGACGGCTCTGCTCTGCCCAGGCCTCAGACCTGGCTTCCTGCTGCCACATGACAGCCCCCCAACCGTGCCCAGCTTTCTTTCCTCCCACCCTGGAACGCAGACTTCAGGCCCCAGCAAGCTGCTCCAGGAGGCCTGCAATGCAGGGTGACTGCACAGTGTGATGCTGGGAGGTCCCACAACACAGTCCCCTCCAGGCGGCACCCTCCCCAACTGGGGCCTCAGAGAGGGAACTGACACAGAATTTAGGAGACCCACAGAGCACTTGGATCAATCCCCTTTGCTTGTCACGGCCCAGCCCAACCTTGCAGACCTGACTGGGAGGGTGAGGACCTGAGCGCAAGCCCCAAGTCAACCACAGGTCAGCCGCCTGGCTGCAACCACCACCCCACACACCTCTGGATGGACAGACAGACAGGAGGGCAGGAAAGGAGGAATCGGAGAGAGGCCAAGGCAGCAGGAAACAGGGACTCGTTATCACAAGAGCTGGAAAGAACCCCATGCATCAGCCAATCCCAGCTACATGCTGCCGAGAAGAGCTGTCTCAAATGTAGAAATGAAGGGAAGCTGAGGGAGCAGGAAGATGTGGAAAACGACTGAAATTCACGTATCTTCATACACACCAGCTTACTGAAATTGACCTTTATTCATTGTACTAAAGTCTGTTTAACTTTGGGTACAAAGTAACATTTTAGTACAGAAAGTCCCCGTCTATGGGGTCAGTACCTGCCTGTGCCCACCGTACCACCACAGTCCAACAGTCTGTGACTTAGAAAAGCAGCCCCGCACCCAGATGGTGTGTAATACCTCCAGAAGAGCCTACGGTGTTTCTCAGTTGTCCCAGCTAGAAAACTTGTACCTGTAGAACAAAGGACAGCACTGAGGACTGAAACTTGCCTCTTTTTTGAACAACTGTGCAAGAAAATAGATCCCTTTTTAAAAAATGTCAGTAATGGCTAAACTACAAACTAGTGTCTAGAATTACAAAGAATAAAATGAAATCAAAGATTTCTTGCTAATAAAATGAAATGTTAGGAACAGTATTAAAATATAGGTCCTACCCTGATGACACTTACACAGAGCCTGGTACAGTACCTATTGTGAACAGGACGCACAGTTTAGGAGGAACCACATCAAATCCTCAGCCAGACATATCCAGCATCAGAAGTGCAAAAGGAAAAAAATGAAAAAATAGCCCCAGAACGATGACATCCTCATGGAGTAAGTAAGGTTCATGCCGTGAATGCTGTAACCAGGATTAAAAAGATCTGGTTTTTCTTACTAGATTTTTGTAGTGACAACCTTTACATTCCCCTAAAAGTTCTCGATTCAAAGTCTGAAACTTGAACGTGTACATATCAAAAAGCAGTGATGTGCCTGACACGCTCTATCAAGTTTAAAAATTACCCTGCAACACCGCACTGATAAAGGTTGTCATGACTCACAGAACCTAACACATCTGTTCCACCTGAATACTCTGCCCAGAACCCAACTGTGTCACTGTGCATGCATGGAGCTCTGGCAGAGCAGACATCGTGCTTAAATAATAAACGCAGATGGCGAAGAAACAAGAGGCTGCGGAAGGCAGCAGAGAAAGGCTGAGAGATGAGTTTGTCAGATCACCAGAGCTGCCTTCCCCAGTGCTGGAGGAAAACACTGCAGCTGGCAAGTCGCCCCACGCAGGCACTGGTTCTGCCACCACTGGTGCCTAAGCATCTGCTGTCGCCATGTCCTTCCAGGAGAGGTGCCACCGAGGAGCAGGAAGTGTGTCAAAGCTCTGGTCCCACTGACAAGAACCTACCGAAGCAAAGTAGCCACGATGAGGTTCCAGGGTCATTTTGCTGAAGACAGAAGCAAAATCAACACCATAGCAACAGGGGTGCTGACACAGCGGTTAGGGGCTAAGGCCCCAACCACATGGAGCCGAGCAAGTAAACATAAACCACCAAATACTTAGAAAAGGCTTGTAAACTTGTGATCGGAAAGGTTCTCTTTGCAGCATCTCTGATTGGCTGGCTAAAGAAAGCTGGGTGTTGAACCACTCTAGCCAAAGTCTTTGTGTTTTCTGTATTGTTTTGTCTTAAAGCACACGTGTGAGAGGCCCAGAGTCTGCTGGCTGGGCCTGGATGCTGTGGGCTGTGGTCCTCGGTCTACCAAGGAGGTGCTTCTGAAGTCCTGGCTTTGGATCCTTCCCCTACATGTTGGCCCACAGACAGACCTCTGTTCTAAGCCACCGGGAAAGAGCTGAGCCAGGTGCTCACACTGGCCGGGCAGCTGTAGCCACTGCACAGCACCGCGTCCTCCTAGAGTGGGCAGGCAGGAACCCAAAGGACTTTGTTCTGTTCTTGGTTGACCACTGCCAGGATCTGAGTGCAGATGCTTGACAGGGCTCCTCCTTGGACGACCCCTGCAAAAGAACCCCCAAGAACACATTCATGTCATCCAGCTCTAAGGAAGTCCTCAGGTGTGAGGCAAATACATGCAGCCTGCACATTTCCTACTGTCTGGCTATCTGCCTCCAGCTATTTGGCGCTCCTGCCCTGTCCCCATCCGACTCTCCTTCACCAGCCAGAAAGTGGGGAAGAAAAAGAGAAGGTAGCTGCCCCTGGTGAGTGGACTGCTCACACAGAAACTGCCCACCCCCACCAGGATAACACTGACAGGGAGTGTTTAGAGACTATGACAGAAAAGGGACAGTGGAATTTTATGTCTGTTCAATCTAATAAAAAAACCAGAGGTGCTCTTTTGTAAGTTTTGGAGGTGTGAAATTTCACTTCTCTAGAAATTGTTCATGGGATAACACTGACAGGGAGTGTTTAGAGACTATGACAGAAAAGGGACAGTGGAATTTTATGTCTGTTCAATCTAATAAAAAAAACAGAGGTGCTCTTTTGTAAGTTTTGGAGGTGTGAAATTTCACTTCTCTAGAAATTGTTCATGTATTTGGCTAAAGTATGAGTCTGTGATGAACTGATAATTAAAATACCCACATGCATGCACACACCCATGCATGCACACGTGCAAACATACACACCACACACAGGCATGCACACCCAAATGAGCACATGCATATGAGCACACAGGCTGCAGCTTTTCTTCACCAAATCACCAAAGCAGGCCTATGGTACCCTGGAGGGTGCTGGGGACAGATGGCCACAGTTGCCACTGCTGCCCACACTGCCAGCTTGCCTCTACGGTTCCTGACCCGAACAGGGACACTAAAAATGTAAAATTTGGAGTAGACAAGGCCAGATCATGACCTGAGCCCAAACATAGTGAGCTTACCATTTCCACCTGTAAAAATCCTGACACTGACACTGACCTGGGCCTGCAATCTGAGCATCTCACTTGCGAAGAAAGCGCTTACAACAGCATTCACAGGCATCCAGGAAGCGTGGCTGTTACCAATTCTAAGCAAGCTGGCTTTGGAAAGCCTCTGCTTCCTTCCCTGCTGTCTGCTCCCCTCTCCAGGCCCACACACACCTACCTGTGAAGTACCTGCCGTACTCCTGCTCAATCTTCTGAGCTGTCTCAAACTGCTCTTTGGAATGCCTCTGAGTCACTTTGTCCCTCAGGTAGATGGGGTCTCTCTGCTCCCTGTCAGGACAGCCAGGGAACCAGGTTGAGTCTCGAGCCTCTCCTAGGCCAGGGTAGCAGGGACTTCCTCTAGCCGGGGTGGGCTGTGTTAGGAAGTCCCGTGCACTCCCTCCACTGAGCACAGCAAAAGCCTGCAGGCTGCACGGGAGGCTCTGGGTAGAACGGGTGCACAGAGCAGATGCCTCAGCTGACCCCAAGCACGGGTACAGAAGCTCGGCAGCACAGAAAGGTGAAACGGAGAGGGGCCTAGGCAAGCAGTTAGCCCAGGCAGTGTGGAAGCTCAGTAAAAGTGAAAGCCCATCCCAGCAACAAGCAAGCTCATGGCTGAGTGGGACGTAGGCCAGGTCACCCAGCTCCTCAGCCTTCAGAGCACCTGCCCACAGAGGGCGGGAGGGAGACACACAGGCCAAGATGGCCTTGCTCAAGGAACTGTGGTGGCACCAAACAGGGCAAAAGGGCAGTAGGGACAGAGGGCTGTGTGTGGTTAACCCCACCTCCCTCTGAACATGGGACTGGGTAGGAGGCGAGGGTCGTTTCCTACATGTGCTGTCCACAGAACCATTTCTCATTCCTCCATCCCACCCCAACACCCGCCCCCACTGGAGCCACTGCCCCCTCTCCAGCAAGGCCCCAGGTGACCCAAGGGAGCCAGTGGCCTACTTGACGTGTTTGGCGCTCTTGTAACGGAGGAAGATGACGATGGGGTAGATGTGCACATGGTGCAGCCGCTCGATGGCATGGGGGGCGACGTCCAGGAGACAGTGCCGGTTCTGGGGGCGAGGGGTGCAATGAGCACCCAGGGCAGGACCCTCCCGTCACACAGCCCTGCCCCACTCCACACATCAGGCAGCACCCATGTTTCATGAGGACCCCACACAAGGAACTGAGGGAACCTGACCCAGGAAATCTCCGTACAAGACCTTAGCTGGGATGATGGTTGAGGACAGGGCCAGGGCCGAGTGGAGTCTGGCCGACCCAACTCCATACTTCCTTTCCAGCCTCTGCCCAGATACAGGGACACAGGTAAGGTCCTAACCCAGCCAGTCTCAAAAGCCTTGTTTCTGCGAGACTAAGCAAAGGAAGAGCCGGACTCTCTCAGGGCTGCAGGGAGGGGAATGGAGCGTGTACCTTCCTGGGGCTATTACTGAAATATGCCCCCTGGGTCCCCTGTGCCTCCAGGTGGAGTGTGAGATAAAGAAGGGCCACAGGAGCTCTGCCGGTGGCTCTCCATGGCCACCAAAAGCTCCACGGAAGAGGACTCCCGTGGCCAGAGCTCTTTGGCTTCAGCTGGGTAGCATGTACTCACAGTTGCGAGGTGCCAGTGCCTTCCTCTAACAGAGCAGGGAACCAAAGCCCAGCCAGGCCACCATGCAGCCTGGAGGAATGGTGCCCAAGGGGCCACCGTGTCCTCAGACCCACAAGCAGTCACCTAACCCACATACCCACAGATGCCCCCGTTCATGCTGCCTGGCAAAGGGACGCTGGGACACTGGGACATTCAAAAGCACCCAGAGACACAGCATCACCTCTTAGCCCTTTCAGAGCCAGGGCCCTGTAGGAAGGGGTGCCCCCTGTCCCCAGAGAAAGGCGCACATGACACTGTGCATGCAAGTTTAGCACACACATTCAGGGAACCTGTTCTGGGATGCCCTTTGAACTTGCTCCCGAGTTCAAAGCTCTTGTCAGACTGCCTCAGGAGCAGAGAGGCGGCACATACACAGGGCAACTCCTACACCCGGGCCAAGGGATTGGCTCGCTAGCTACGAGGACAGAAACGCATACAGCAAGAAGGGCAACCCTGCAGCAGGTGGACTCGGACCCCATGTCCCAGGTGAGCTCATGGAAGGTCCGGAAGCCCAGGGCAGAGGACCATGGGAAAAGGGCCCTGACTCATGCTCGGAGGAGTCCAATCCCCAGGCTCCACCAGGTGTCCAACCCACAGGCTAAAGCCACAGGTACCTTTTCTGTGATCTCCTTTATTGATGCCACTGTGGTCACGTCAAAATGGCCACTCCTCCGCTTGTAGTCCACAAACAGGCAATCTTTGACACCGCGCTCAATGGCCTGCTGGGAGGCCTTCATCACTTCTGCAAAGCACAAACACAAGAATCAGGACGCTGTGGCCTGCTGGGCCCTAACAAGCAGGGAAGACGCTGAGTTCAGCTGCCATCAGGAACTCCATCCTAGTGTTCTCTCTTCTGCCGAAAGAACTGAAGGCCACACATGGACCTGACCCAAGTCAGGAGGGCTCTAAACACCATAGGATCCTGCCGACCACACGGCCAGCTGGAGAGGCAGGTGGACAACGACAGAGAGAAAGACACAGCCCAGGAGGCAGAGGGCGGCCCTTACCAAGGGGGCATCTGCAGAACTTGCCAGGTGCCTCATTCACCAGCATCTCCTTCACCACGTCCAGTAAGGGCCCCAGAATCAGGACAGGCCTCAGAGAGGTACAGTCCACCTTCTGGACCCGCTGATAGGCCAGGCTCACCGAGTCTGAGGGAGAGACAGCAACAGTGTCATGGGCCCACCCTGGAGGGGCAGGCAGAAAGAGGCTGGGGCCCTGCCCCTGACCTCACCCGCCCCGGTTTGCCTGTATCTTGCCCAGTGTCAGCACTGAAAGTCCCACATCCCTGGCACAGCGGGGCACAGATAGCACCAAAATGGTGTTTAGTACTGCCACGGCAGCCAGGACTTGAAGAGCCATGACTGCAGAAGGAAGGATGGGGCAAAGAACTAAGTCTGATATCAAAGGTTTCTCCTAAAGCCGGTTGCCAAATTCTTGAGCTGTGAGGAACAAGATAAGTTTCTAAGAAGAAAATTTCATAATGATAACAGGGTCAGTTTACCAGGAAGACAGAATAATTCAAAAGGCATATGCACCTAAGGACAACTTCAAATATACAGTGCAAAAAGACCCCTGAAGAACTGACAGGGAGAATAGAGAAATGGCTATTTTTCAAAGACACAAACACATGCACTGGACCCAAGCCATGCACAGCGAAGACGGCGTCTGTGGCAGAAGGAACCGGGGAAGTTTGAGAGGAGACACCACAAGTGAAGGGAAACAAAAAACAACGTAAGAGAGAAACTTTGCCTTGGTCTACAGGCCAACGACCTTTTCTACAAAGGGCAAGACAGTAAATATTTCAGGCTCTGAAGGCAAAAAGGCAAAACTGTGCGACTGTCACCACAGAAAAGGCTAATGGTCTTTTCACATCTTACGCTGGAAAATGTAAAACCCATGCTTACGGCTGGGCAGCGGTCACATCTGCCCAGGTCTGTGGTTTGCCAACACCTATCCCAAGTGATGGTGACAAAGGGTCATGAACTACAGGGGTTATTCACTCAACTCACTACACCCAAGGTCTTAATTTTACAAGTAAACAGGGACAGAGGGGCGTAAGGGGAGCCAGCTGTCCTGCCTTCTGCTGCTCGCCGGCCCCTCCACTCCCTGCCCGCCTGGTAGAGCACACATCCTAGGACAGTGGACACATGCCAGGGTCCTGCACTGTCCTGCATCACAGGACAGATGCACCCTTTCCGCAAGGGCCATCTCTGCCAGAGTGTCTGACATTCCCTAACACTCAACTCCAGCCCTGGCACAGTGTCCTGCCCTGGGAGGGTCTCATAAAACTCATTAATGAACACAGGAGTGAGTCTGAAAAGGCCAAAGATCTGCAGAGATTGGTGACCCTTGGTAACTATCAGGCAGCCTGTCATAAACCCTAAACAAACCAGAAGAGACTGCTTTTTGCTCTCCCAATTCCTGCCCTTCCTCTCATCCTTACTAACAGAACTTGTGTCATTGGGGCCAACAATGTACCCAGATAAAACATGTCTTTGGCCTCCCTTGCAGATGTGAGGGGCCAAGAAGATGTAAGGGGAAGTCGTGGGATGGACTTCCAGACAAGCTGTTTAAAGAGGCACACTCAGTTGAGGCACACTTCCTTGCCCCTTCTTCCTTCCTGAAACATGGACGTGATGGCTGGAGCTGCAATGACAGGTGGTGACCATGAGGAGAACTTGAGGATGGAAGCCATGCCCTACCTACGCACGAGGTAGCACAAAAGCAAAGCAAACCCCTGTCTTGTTAAAGTCCCTGCTGAGAAGTTTTGGAGATCAGCAGCAAACCTCATCTGGAGAGCCCACTGGAAAAACGAGCTCAGCCACTTGCCTTCAAAGAGTGGAAAGGAGTCATTGGAAAAGGTGTCCAAGGCAAGGAGGTCTTTCCCATCTTTGGACCCACTGCGTTTGTGCTTATGTTTCCTTCGAAAAAAGGACCGGCGTGCAGCTGCTGACAGCGTCTTCGCAGCACTACTGTCATCTTTGACCTCAGACATGCTGAGCCTCCTGGAGAATTCTTGGTCCATCCTGTAATCACAGGGGATGACAATGCTGGAGAATGCCACTGGGACCCCCGCGCATCTTCCTGTGAGGAAAGCAAGGGCCAGGCCGGAAGCCAGGCTCCTCCACACTCCTCTGGAGGTCTTCTGCTTCACCACCCACACCCCCGAGAACCCCTGCGTACTGCTGCTACAGGTGACGCAAACACCAGCACTGGGGGCAAGCTATCAGAGCCGGCGAATTTCTACTATGGTCGCGCATCTTCCTGTGAGGAAAGCAAGGGCCAGGCCGGAAGCCAGGCTCCTCCACACTCCTCTGGAGGTCTTCTGCTTCACCACCCACACACCCGAGAACCCCTGCGTACTGCTGCTGCAGGTGACGCAAACACCAGCACTGGGGGCAAGCTATCAGAGCCGGCGAATTTCTACTATGGTCTATTCCGCTCAGTGTCAAAAGGAACTGCCTTCACTTGGTGACATTACAAGTTACACTTCCGGCCACAGGGAGAATGAAGCAGGGATACACGCTACAACATTCATGCACCCTGAAAACAAGTTCAGCAACAGGAGCCTGACACCAAAAGTAGATCAGTGGTTGTTTTGGGCTGGGAGCCAAGTGGAGGTGGGGAGGACAGAGGGACAAGGGGTGATGACTAATGGGCATGGGGTTTCTTTTTGAGGCGATGAAAGTACTCACAAAGTAACTGTGGTGACGGCTGCAAATATCTATGAATAAACTAAAAACCACTGAATTGTACCCTCTGGGTGAGTTGTACGGTATATGAATTATATCTTCACAAATCTGTTTTAAAAAAGTCATGCCCCTGTCTTGCCAGGGTGCTTCTGCACAGCACTGTCTTACACGAGCAGCAGCTTTCTGCAGGAGTGATTCTGGCAAAGGGTATAAGGCCAGAGGCTGAGATGGGCAGCAGACTCGCCCTCCTGTAGCCACCACTTCACCCCATGGAAGAGCTCCAGGGCTGGCAGCCCCCACCCCCACCTGGAGATGGAGACCCTTACACGTATTTGCTGGGAATCTGCCCGCGCTGCATCTTCTGGGCATTCTCGTCCAGCTGCCACACCATCCAGGACCCAAACGCACCCTGTGGCAAGGTGTCATCCACGTAGAGAATATCATCCTTCTTAAAGCTGAGCTCATGCTCCACCTCTGCCAGCCGGTCGTACAGGGCCCTGGACCGAGGGACAGAGGGAATGCAATCAGGAGGCCTCCGGCTGCTCGACAACGAGCCACAGGCCTTCTGCAGCCAGGCCCCTAAGGCCCCTCTTCTGCACTGAGCTGCCTCCAGATACCATGGGCAACCAGATCTCCTCATTTCTGGTGCTGGTGCCCAAAGAGGGAGCCCCATGCCTTACATAATGGAACAGAGACGTAGCCCCAATGGAAGCCCCTCCCCTGCCCAAATCCCCAGAATCCCTGGATACTGGCACCTAATGTAGAAGCTGTCGCCAGGCAGGCCCTTGATCCTGGAGAACTCCTCGGGGCGGTACTGCACCTTCAGGCGGACACCATCCTTGGGCTTCAGCATCTCCACGTAGACGTCCTCCAATGTCTTGTTCCGCACGTCCACACTGCCATACTACCCAGGGATGGGGGCAATGGGGTCAGAAGGCAGAAGCCAGAGGGTGGCTTGGGCACCACTGAGGTCAGTTATGGCGCTAAGGCAGAGATGCAATGTCCCCTCCTCAACTGAGAATCTGCATGCCTCCCCTCTGCAGGTAGGCTGAGTCTTCGTGGTCTCCCAGCGCCCAAGTCCTGTGCACCTTCCCTGGCCACCAGGTCACCTGCTGAGCATCAGCTTTGCCCTCAACAGCTCATCTCACGAAAAACCCTGTTCTGGGTCCCCAGCAAGGAAACGGTCCTCAAAATGTGGCTCTGACTTGCTTATGCTACTTGTACATTTAAATGTCTAGGGACCATCTCCCCTGTGAAACAGGAGACAATCCCATCCCATCAGATCAGACCCCTGCTGCTCACAAGAGAGAACCTCCTCTTCCGGTGCCCAGGGCCTGAGCTGCGGCTCTGTCCTCAGGTCCTCTCGGTGGCCTGCCTAGCTTCCCAATGACCTACCGAGGGGCCTGGCAGCATTCTGGGTTTACAAGGATTAGAAATCAACCCTGACAGGGTGCCCAGGTGAGAGGCTGGGCTCTTCTGTCTTCTGTGCCACCTGAGGCTACAGCCAGCCCAACGTGCAGGTGAACAGTGGCCTGGCCTGCTCAGCCACACAGAACTCACCTCCAGGATGAGGTCCCCTGGCACAAGGCTGTCAGGACTCTTGGCAGGACTGTCATCCTCCACCTCTGCCACAAATACTCCATGCAGGTTTCCACCACACAAGTGCACCCCAAGTGCCAGTGGTGACTTTTTGATGAAGACCAGGCGTGGCTCCAGGGTCCTCTTGCTAGTATCTCCTGCAATCCTTTTGGGAAGAAAAATGAGGTTCCTCCGTCATGCACCATGACGGAGGAATGCTTGAAAAGACACACTGGTGGCTACCATCCTACCCGTTTTCTGCTTGCTTCACAGGGTCTTAGGAGGAGTTCTTGGAACCAGAGGCAGCCGAGAGGCAGTCTTGTTGCGGCTCTAGTTCTACTGACTTAGCATATAGGGCAGGATGTTGAGGTATACAGGGAGCATGGCCCCAGGTCACAAAGCCAGTTAGGGACAGATTCAAAACCAGTGCCCCTGCTTCTAGGCCCAGATGTCAATCTCCTACCTCAGGGGGTGTCTCTCTCACCTGGATTGCACTTGTTTCTCTAACTGAGTTCTGCCTAAGAAAAGTCAAGTCCATCCCACTGTCCATGCACAATTACTCCTTCATCAAGTGTCTGCTAAAAGGCTTCTGTGGACCAAAAATCGAGCTCACTCTTGAGGAGGCAGCGCTTGCCCCCAAGGAACTTACGACCTAGGGAGGGAAGCTGAGGATGAGCTGATCAACAAACAAGTGAAGGAAATAGCAAACAGCAATGCAGACTGATGAAGGGGACTCAGGGGAAAAGGCAGCCCTGAGTAAGACTGTGCTGCCAGAAAGCACACACAACAGTGCTGCAGGTGGGTTCCAATGTGACAGCCCTGCTGCAGACTGCTGCATGGTCTCCTCCATGCCAGTCTTGGTCAGGGACCCATGGTGCCAGACAAACGGCTCCCTTGTACAGGCCAGGCTGGATGTTGCGCAGTTCCACAGGAGCACCCACCTCCTGTGCACACAAATGCTGCTCCCTCCGCCTAGACCTCTCTCCATGTCCCACCCTGGTTCCTGCTCATCTGAACAACTTAGCCCAGCTGTCACCACTCCCGGCCACACAGCCGGGACGACTCCTAACTGCTCCACAGCAGCCTGCAGTGCTCCCCAATGCACTTGCACTGTGCTGCATGTGCCCGGGCACTGGTTGTCACCTCCTTGGGGTAACACTGCTACTGATGGCCAGAGCCACAGGGCCTGGCTGGGTGATGACTGTGGGATTGGGTCTGAAGACAATATCAGAAAATGAGAGAATAAGAAAAGGTGGAGAGAGAGGAAGGAGGAAAGTGAAGGAGTCAATGAGAAAAGAAGAGAAAGAGAGCAAGGGAAGGAGGGAAGTAGGGAGGAAAAGTGAATGGGGTGGCTCCCGTCCAAAATCTTGCAGACCTGGAGGGTGGCTTGCAGCATGGGACGAGGCTGGCTGCCAGGGCCCAACCCCTCAGGGGACGTGCTCAGTTGCACCCGAAAGGAAGGCTCACAACACATGTCTGCCAACCTGGAGCTAGGGGTGCTCTGCTTGGCAGGGGGGGTCCCCGGGCCCTCCTCCTGCTCCACCAGCGGGTCGATGACAGAGGGAAGCTCTGGGGTGGTGGCACCGCTGCCCTGGAGTGTGGAATAGGTACCGGCAGGGTCCAGGTGGGAGCTGGGGACAGAGAACAAAAGGAATAATTAGCAGCACCCAGCACTCAAACCCCGGGGGCCACCCTCTCCAGTGGTGACCCGTTCACTCAGCGCTGCCCTGGAGTGTGGAATAGGTACCGGCAGGGTCCAGGTGGGAGCTGGGGACAGAGAACAAAAGGAATAAGGAGCAGCACCCAGCACTCAAACCCCGGGGGCCACCGTCTCCAGTGGTGACCCGTTCACTCAGCTCTGAGCCCTGAGACTTGGGAAGAGCAGAAGGTTGGGACCTTGGACTCATGTTACCTGTCCCAGAGGGTCTGCCCATCCTTTCCTCCCCATCTGTCCTTAACTCAGGGATCCTCTCTGAAGGTGTGCGGCCTAGAGAACACGGGACTTCCCTGTCCCTCCTCCTCTGTTTGTGTATCCTGTCTCCCCTTCTGAGCCATGCGGTGTGGCACTGTAGGGCATGTCTTCCCTGTCTCTCGTCTGTCCTGTGAACCACAGCACAGGGGCAGGTGCAGGCAGGTGTCCAGTGTCTGCTCATGGACACAATGTGAGAATCCTGCCCCCATCTGAGCCATGCGGTGTGGCACTGTAGGGCATGTCTTCCCTGTCTCTCGTCTGTCCTGTGAACCACAGCACAAGGGCAGGTGCAGGCAGGTGTCCAGTGTCTGCTCATGGACACAATGTGAGAATCCTGCCCCCAGGGCATCAGTTCCTGGCCACCACAGGCCCCCAGGGGTCCAGGGGCCCCAGTTTTTTGTTTCCACACCTCATCTTGGGAGGAGACATCCTCTCTCTCTATGCCCTTTCTCCAAAACCCAGGGCTGCTCAAGCGTCCCCTTACAAGCCACAGAATCCTCAGAACTTGCAGCTGGCCCCTGGGTCTCCCCGAGATGAGCAGTGTACCTGCTGCACCCCTCTCTCCACGCTTGGCCCAGTTGGAGCAAGGGAGGCCCCGGCGCTCACCTGGAGCGGGAGTGGCTGCTGAGCTGCCGCATGTGGGGGTTGTATTGGGCCAGAATGGTGATGGTGTCACACTGCTGCCCGATGATGAGCCGTGCCTGCTGCTCCGTGGCACTCCGCAGATTGATGCCATTGAACTGGGGAGACATCCACAGGGGGATCAGGGGCAGGGTGGTGGCTGGGAACCGGGGACATGGACTTGGGAGCTGTGTGTTTCCATGGGGGTTACCCATGGGTGCGATGCAGAAGGGCAGCTCCCTCTCACCTCAAGTAACTGATCCCCATACTCCAGGCCAGCCTGGTGAGCGATGCTTCCTGCAGTAACCTTGGAGACGTAGATACCCCCCTTCTCTCCACTCACGATGGAGATGCCCAGCGGCTCCGAGCCCTTCTGCACCTGCACATGGCGTGGCTCCTCCACATAAGGCCTTGGAAAAGAGACCAAGGTTTCAGGGACTCAGACCCAAAGGAACGGCTTGGGGAGAATCTGAGATCAGGCATGCACTCAGGCTGTGCAGAGAGGACCCCAGAGCATAGATGCTCCCATAATGGCATGGCTAGATGGGGACACGATGAGCCCCCCTCTGTATGACACAGGGTTCCCATTCCCACAGCATCAAGCAATGCAAAAGCAGCACAGGCAAATGTACCTGGAAGCACCTGGGCCCAAGCACACAAAGAAGGGTCCAAGTGAACTAGAAACACTGACAGATATGGGGAAAACACTTGGATTTTTATTATGTGAGGAGGTGCCTCACCATATGCAATTTATACACCACAGGAGGGATCTCAGATGCCTTCTGAGGAAGGGATATGGCTTCTAGGACAATATTTGCTCCAAAGAGATAATAAAAAATATCACTTTTTACATTTACCCACTACACAGGGCAATACAACCTGACCATGGGAATTCAGCTGTGCAAACCCAAGCCATTAAAAAGGCAGAAGAAAGGCATGGATTATGGTGGCAGCCATGCCCTTGATGCCCCCAGGCAGCTGTCCAACCACACCCCAAGCCACAAGGGGACGGGGCTTGGCAGGGAGCCTCCTGTCAGGCCAACTTCAGACTCCTCAGGGAGGAGGACCTGGGCCTGGCAACCACAGCAGCCTCAAAGGAGACCTGTGGTGGTAGATATCTGGAAGATGGAAGTGCTAGAAAGAGAAGAAGAGGCACTGAGAGAAGGAAGACAACCACAGATACCTGGAACATACCAGACAGAAAAGACAGCCTCCCACCAGGACTGGCACTGCACACTGTCCTGAGCTCTGCTCTCCCAGGGCCTGAACACCTGAGCTTTTCCGCTTAGGGTGAGATTGGGCCAACACTGAGGGAAGAGCCAGCCCGATCTACATCTTATTGGGTCCCCTCCAGAGCACACGGTTGGGGATGAATTCACATGCAGAGCCACTAAGCCAGCCCACCCCCGTCCCCTGGAGGCAGAGCAGCCCACGAGCTCAGCAGGCCTCTGCCGGGGTCCCCAGGGTTCAGGGCCCAGACCTCCTAGAACAGAGGGAATTAAAACTCTTCTTGAAACATCCTTTCTCTCTCCCACTCTCATCAGCGTTCTCACTTCCCCAGCTCACCCGCTCTGCAATTCTTCCCCTGGCCCTTCACTCAGATCAGTCCCCGGTCTCCCCCGTGGTCACTTCTCCCACTTAACATGTGCTAAGGCGCCCGACAGTTTCTAGTTGCAAGAGCCTTAGCAGGCAGTCACCATGACACCATCCTTAGCTCCCAGCCTGAGTTGAGGAAACACACACCCAGAGCAGGGAAACAGGCCTCCCTTCCGAGGCCACTCTGCAGGTGGGGCAGAGCTGGGTTCCGGTCTGGGGCTTCTCAGTCCTCACTGAACACCCTGTCCTCTGTCCCACCTCCAGACAACATATCTATCTCATAAAGAAGCAAGTCACAACAGTGTCATGACAACCCACACAGGAGAAGCCAGGGAGCTCTGCTGCCAATGATATAGGTCAGAATCTGCTGACATGGAAAGATGCAGAGGACAGCCGTGGCATGGGAAGGCACGTTGGTGTCCTTCATTTGTGTTCATCAGTACACAAACCATGCGTGTGTTTAGCCGTAAACAGATTTCTATGGAGGACATTACAAAAATGTTAACACAACTATTTCCACTTGAGGGGATTTCAGGTAATCTTTACTTTTTAGTCATCTGAAAGATGTCAATTTTTTAAAGATATGCACAAAAGTTTTCTTGGAATAGTAAGGCTGCTTTGTAGAAGAGGTTTATGAAGTAGACGAATAATATTGCAAGGAGCTTAAAGCATAATATTAAGAGAGATGTGAATAAGCATATAAAATAATATAAATAATAAAACATGCATTAAAAAATATGTATATCAAAAGGTTAATAGTGATTGAATCTCTGGTAAGAGATTATATGTGACTTTTTTCTTCTTTCTAGTTTTCTAACTTCCCCAGCTTTCTATCATGAGTCTATGAGAGTATACATCTGAATCAGGAAAAAAGCATCTACTTTTATTAAGTAAGCTTTGCTCAGTCAGCTCACACATGCTAAATCCTGCCTGTAATTAGATCATAAGCACCGTGAGGACTGGAATCACACTTTTCTTTCTCCAGCAGGCGTTCTCAGCTCTTTGCACAACAGTAGAGTGCTAAGAGGACATTTGGTCACATGGGATGAGGCCCTTTCTACTATTAAGGAACCCACTTCACTCCATGGAAGGTCTTGTCCTCTCGGGGACAAGAGCTGCGGTTGAGAAAACAATCCATCTGCGTTCCGGTGTGTATCATGCACTGAGAACTCCTGGGTTTCCCTACGCACCTGATTCCCCTCCTGGGGCCAGGCCTGGGCTTTAGGGACACTTCTGCTCCCTCACGTTCTCTCAGGTTCAGACTTTCTGGGTGCGAGGTCTTACAAGTTAAGATGTTCAAGTTAAACATTCAATGCAGGGCCCCTTCTGAAACTGACAGCTACGGGGGCCTCAGCTTTTTGGATGTGAGTACACAGAGTAGCTCTATTCCATTTAAGTCATAAACAAAGCCATGTTCAAGTTTAATGAGCTCTCCTGAAGATCTATTATCTAGGCAGAACTTTTTATATATAAATACTATCTAGTAAGTTCCGTTTAGAGGAACAACAGCAGGAGAAGGTGGTGCAGCGTGTTGGGGGGATGGGTATGGATTCTGCAGAGGAGGTGCCTCTGGACTGACATCAAGCCTGAAACTAACCTCATAACCTACGCAGACAGTGTGCCACATTTTAAAACAAACCAATAAACAGCTAAGCTATAAATGTATGCTTTACATGCTATTTTTTTTCGTGTGTATTTTATTTCACAATAAAAAGCTGGGGGATGGAGGAGGAAGGGCAGGAGAAGAACCAACAGGTGCAGCTGTACTCTAGGGCCAAAACGCAAAGGGTGTGAGTGAGTCCTGATTCTGCTTAGTACAGGCTAGTTGCTAACCTCCTGACCACAGACAGATCACTCCAACTTTCTGGACCCAGTTTCCTCATTTGTAAAATGGGACTAACAAATGATGACACTCAGAGGGTTACTGGGAGGATTTCATAACTTAAAACATATAAATTGCTCACACAAGGGCCCAGGAAGTAGTAGTTGGTGCCATGACATCACTACCGCCATCGTGATGGGATGTTCCAACTCCTGCTGCTTCTACCAGCAAGCCCCTCCCTTGCCCTGGCCCACTGCCGGCATGTGCTGTGCACCGGTCTGCTCCTGACACAGAGCACAGTCATGCTCACCTGTCCTTTCGCCGCTCCCCAAGGGATGCAGGGTTGACGGCAATTCTGGGCAATGTAGAGGCTGCGGTCTGAGACTGGCGACAGGAGGACAGGGTGTCAATGTTCAGGGGTGACTGTGGAGGAGTGCTGCATTCTGAATGTGACAGTGAACCTGACAAGAGAGGGCCAGGGTAAGCAGGCTGAGATCTCGCACCTGAGCTCTCCAGCAGCCAAGAGAAACAGGAAGAGGGGTCCAGACACATGGCTCCAGGCCCCGACTGCACCACCCGGCTGTGAGGTCAGGTGCTGGGCTCCGCGGTGCCTTTCCACCCCATATCACCAGGCCTCCGGCCAGGCTCAGCAAACACTAGTGAGGGATGAGATGACTGGGAAGTCAGGCGTTGTGCCTGAAGACTCCACTGTGGAGAGTGGGGACACAACAGGACAGGCGGGGGAGGGGAATGCCCAAAGTTCTCACCTCTGTCAGAGCCCACAACAGACCGGGGGTATCTGGGCGTTGATGGGATTTTAATGCGTTCTGCCTTGAACTGCAAGTTATTCGAAGACCCTGTTGTTGTGTAAGGAGATACGACTTCAGGCCTCGTGATGAAACGCCATCCCTCACCCCTCACCACCACCTTAGCCATCAGGACGATAAAATGCAAAGCTGGCCTTGCCAGTTATCCCTGAGGCAGCCTGGATGTGGAACAGTCAAAAGAGAACTAGTGCTTGGATAAACCAGGCAGGCCTAGACTGCTCCAGCACCAGAGCACAAGAGACTCATGTCCCACCCAGGAGCAGCAACCTCAGTGCCAAGGGTGCTGCTCTGCCTTCCCTCCCCAGCACCAGAGACTTCCCCAGGGTCTCTTTACAAGCTAACCGCGAGACTCCACACTGGGTTCCATTTTCCCTAAGTGAACAGCCACATAAAACACCCCAGAATGACTAACAAGCTCAGGGACAGGAGCCAGACTCTTAGTCAAGGGGTCATTTAGGATAATCACACAGCCACCAAGGAAGGCTGAAGGCGAAAGGCCACACCTCTGAGTCAGAGTGGGCGCCACTGGCCAGCAAAGGCGTCCGTCCTTCCCAGGAAGGAGCCGCGCTCAGCCCTGGGAGGGCAAAGGGGCTGTGTGGGCAGCCCACCAGGAGGTGTGGGCAGCCCACCAGGAGGCGTGGGCATCAGGATGCAACGGAGATGAAGAGAAGGCCTCTGCCTGCCACAGCAGAACATCCGAGCGGCACAGTTACCGAGGCGGGCGCTGGAGGGCAGCGAGTTGGACCCGTGGGAGGTTCTCATCTCAGAGTAGTCGCTGCGGGCCCTGTGGCTCAGGTCCAGGCTCAGGCGTCCCTGGTGCTGGGCACTGCACGAGAACCGGAGAGCTGAAGGGCTCAGGAACGGGAGCAGGACCAGACGTGGTGCTGTCAAGCAAACAGCCACAGGCCTGGGCCACCCTGAGTCAGCAGAAGGGGGGCCCAAGAGTCACAGGCAGTGGACCCAGGTCAGCACTGCCCCTGGCCACATCTCAGAGGTGGCCTCCAATGAGAACCTTCAAGCACTAGAAAGGGGCCGCACACACAGGGCAGCCAGTATTACATATGCTTCAGCCACGGGCTCAGGATTTGGCTTACTTGGAGGAAGGGACTGCTGCAGGAAAACACGGAGGCTCTGCAACCTGGCTGGGCCTGGGGACGGGGAGCGTCTCCTCCCAGGAGGTGAGCAGGGAGGCTAGCTAGGCATTGAGGATCTTGGAGAGGAAACCTACGTGCCTCACTCTTAATGACGGCTTCAGGTCCCACAAGGTTTGTGTCCCATGACCCAGGACCTCCTCCTGACCCACTGCCCCTTTGTCAAGCTCCCCCCATACTGGTCCCAGGTGTACCTCATCTCCTTTGCCACCCTCTCCCAAGTCACAGCCCAGCTTGTCACCCTGTGTTATTGTGTTCAGGGCCGCTCAGCACCATCTGATTATCACTCAGTTTATTTTCGTCTGTCTGCCTCCCTCACTTGAACACAAAGTACCACATGAGCAAGAAGCCTGTCTCTTTAATTCATCACTGGTCCCCTCGGAATTAGAAGAGCCCAGAGCACACAGTAGGTTCTTCATAAAAATCTGGCAAATGAACGAACAGAGTGTCTTTGAGCCAGCACATTCACTTTGAAAGGCTCAATTTCCTCATCTCTAAAACACAGACAATAATAGCACTTAGCTCATAAGATTGTTGTGTCCACTAGTTGAGATGATAGAGATACAGATAAAGGTCAGAGCCCAGAGCCTAGGACATGAGCACTCAAATATCATCTGCTATCACTATCACTTCTTTAAATACCTTTTAAAACTCAATGGTAGTAAGTTAAGAGAGCATCCTTTCCTTTCCCTAGGATCCGAGCACTGCTCTAACCAGCCCTTTCCCAGCTAGGTGAGGAAGCTGCTCTGCCCATGAGCCTCTTTATGCCCCAGTGGCTCTAGGTCCAGGTGGGCTTGGACAGCTGGGGTACCTTTGCATACCTGGGATGCAAAACATGGGCACCAATGTCGCGGGGTACAGGTGGAGAGCTGCAGGGACCGACCCTGTGGCTGCGCACAGTGTAGATGGGATTCCGCAGGATAGAGCTCATGGTGGTGCTGGGGGTCATACTCCGGGGAACGGTCCCTAGAAATAGGATGGATGAGAATGGTCACCCCAAAGCACTCAACAAGCCCTGGACTTGTGCAAGCCCTCTCCCCACATCCTAGGGAAGCACCCACAGTATTTTGGGAAAAGCACCCAGAAGACTAGAGTTGTAACCATCAATTTGCATCGTGGCTTTGGCTACTGGCCTTTCTCTGTTGTAAAACAGGAGAACATTTTATGCTTCCTATTTCCTAGGCTGCTATGGGGAAATAGTGCTCTGACAAGCTAAGAAACATCATAACTGCAAGACCAATCATCCCAGACAGGGCAGCGATTCCTAGCTCTCTGGATCTCCAAGCTGAAGACACATGGCAGCGGCCTGTAACACCTGCCTCCTCCCTTCCAGAGACCAGGAAGCCCTGGGAGTGCACACGGATCCTCCTGCCCAGCCCTTGGCCCACCAACTCACCCACAGATGGTCTGCTGGGGTACAATGGGGGGTTGGTGTGCCGGCTGGGATGCCCTGGCGAGTGAGTGGACCCTTCCTGGAGTTCTGGGGAGAGTTCTCCACTGCCTGGCCTGAACTTCTCTTCCTGCAGAACCAAAGACAAGAGGTATCTGCTGGAAACAGCAAAAAGCTCATGAACATCTGCAAGCCCATTTCTGTCCCCCACGCACTAGCTCTTCCCACCCGGGCACAGGAGGTGCGGGTCAGGAGAGAAGTCATTGCTCATCCACATGGCCTCACATGTCTAGAAGGGAAGAGCTGTGGCAGAATGAAACTCTTTGCTTTGAAATAAGGAGGGGGGCTGGCCAGTTAGCTTACTAGGGAGAGCATGGTACCAATAATGCCAAGGTCAAGGTTCGGATCCTCTTACCGGCCAGCCACCAAAAAAAAGAAAAAAAAAGAAATCAGATTACGTGAGAAGGGTGAGGACACATATGTGCACCAGGCACCTGTAATAACTACATAAATACACAGGTATGAGGAGCTCTTCGCTACTGCGAGCAGCAGGGATTGGTGCACAGGTGCCGTCTCCAGCCTCCCTGCCATCTCTCCCTTCAGCACACACAGCTAGGCCATCCTGCTACCAACTGACAGTTTGACATCTGTCATCTCACCTCCCCAAACCCTTCAAGGCAAGTCTGTGGCATTTGGTTTTGTTGCACACATTCAAAAGCTTCTTGAGCGAAGAGCAAACCAAATGCTATATCCAAGAGCGTTCCCTTCCTGGAGTCAGATTCCCACTGCTGGACACACCCCACGCCACTTTTCCATCTCCTAGCTGGGCTACTTCCTGCTGGCATCCACTCGCCACCCTCTCCTCCCCCGAGTACATGCCAAGAGCAAAGGCAAAGGAACCAGGCTGAGTGAGAGCTTGGGGACACAGGAGCAAGCCACTGTGCAGTGCTCCTGCGGCCAGCCCGCCCCTCCCAGCTCCTCTCCCAGCACCCAGGGCTGAGCGCTACCTCCAGGAACTGAGCAGGAATCACCACTGGAGCCAGCCTGGGCCGGAAACTAGGCGCAGACTTTGGCCGGCGGCGCTTCTGCCCCAACTCATCTGCCTTCTGGGAGGTGAGGTCCTCATCACAGGATTTCTTGGCTGGCAGGTAGGAGTCCCCATCCCCTTCGGGGTAGTAGCTGGAAGCAATGCGGACCCTGGCCTTGCGAGGGGGTGATGCGTGCATGGGCTCCCCGGGGTCCATGTCGGGGGGCAGAGCGCTCGGGGGGCTGGTGGATGGGGAGCTTCCCACCAGAGTGGCCTCTGACTCGGAACTGGTTTCCAACCTATGCTGGAACTTAATGGAGTCGCTCCTTCTGGGAGGCTTGGGGGGTGTCAGAGGCCCCATTCTCTTGGAGGGCTGGGAGGTGTGAGCAGGCCCAGGGCCTGGAAATAGGTAGTCAATTTTGGGGGGGGTCTGGGGGCGTTTGAAAGTGTTAGGGTCAAAGATGGACTTTCTTTGCCTTGGCTTCTTGTAAACGGAGAGCTTCTCAGGCCCTGCCGTGGAGCTGAGCACAGCCTTGGGCCAGGTGCCACCGCTGTTGGAATCCTCGGGGTCCGCCTTCTCCAGTGGGGGCTCCACCACCCCACAGGGGCCCACCTCAGTTTCAAAGGGCAGCAGAGGCTGCCGGCTCCGCACGTCCACAAGCCCATAGCCACGCTCCCCAGAGGCATCTGAGCGGAAGGAGCTCAGGCTACGCTCAGAGGTGCTGGGACAGGCCTGGGGGGAGACCTGAAAGGGTCCGCCTGGGAACAGCTTGGGCAGAAAGGAGCTGCTTCCTCCTGGGGGGCCCAGCTCCTTCCTGTCCTCCAGCCTGTCAGCGTAGAAGGTCTCCGTCTGCGTGGAATTATTATGCTGCATCACGTTCCGTTTATGATGAGTCTGGACCTCTGCACCATGGACTCGAAAACTCAACATTTTCTCAGAGTCCTTGACATTCTCAAAGATGTTCTGGCCACTCCATGAGGAGCTCTGAGGGAACACCTACGTGGGGAGAAAAGGCAAGAGGGCAGGACCTGGAGCTGCTGCTGAATACCGTGCCCGTAGGTACAGCGACGGTCAGGAACACACACACACACACACACGCACGCACGCACGCGCGGCATGCACACCAGTCCCTACCAGTAAGGTTTTCTCGCAGCCTGGCCACTTTGAACTCACAGGAGAGCCATAAAGTTCACCTGACTTTGAGCACTTTCTGAACTCAAAGGCACAATGTCCTGCACATTTTTAAAAATTATTAAACATAAAAGTAAAAATTCATGATCAAATATACATCTCTTGTGGTACACACAGACAACAGTATATTAATCAGTGCTGGAAAAAAGTGCTATCAAGCCCTAAAAAAGCATGGAGGAACTTTAAATTACTAAGAAGCCAATCTGAAAAGGCTGCACGCTGTATAACTCCAACTATATAACATTCTGGAAAAGGCAAAAGCATGGAGGCAGTACAAGCATCCGTGGTTGCCAGGAGCTGGAGGGGAGGGAGGGAAGGATGAACAGGTAAAGCACGGGGGGATTTTTAGGGCAGTGAAACTCTTCCGTACAATTCTGTAATAGTGGATATATAAGACTAAACATTTATCAAAACTCACAGAATATACAACATCAAGAGTGAATCCTAATCTAAACTATGCATTTACTACTAATGCATCAATGTTGGCTCAATATCAATGTTGTCATCATTACTATTACAATATCAATTGTAACAAATGCACCACACTAACGCAAGACGTCAATGATGGGAAAACTTGGCACGGAGGATGGGGGTGGTGGTGGTGGTGGGTGGACAGAGTACGCAAGAACTCTCTGGACCAGCTCGACTTTTTGTATACCTTAAACTGCTCCCAAAAATGTCTATTGATTTAAAAATAATTGTTGAATTTAAAAAACATCTCTCAATTAAATGGATAGGCCTTTTCCCCCTGCTTTCTACTATTAATACTTTCAGCTATGTAGAAAAGTTGACAGAAAATATAATAAATTTCCATAAACCCACCATGTGGATTCAACAGTATTTTACCAAAATTTCCCTTATCGTCTATATCTATATAAACATTGGAGAACACTGGAAATAAGTTACAAATATGACATCTCACCTCTCACAACTTTAGCATGTACCTCCCCAAAATAAGGCCATTCTCCTGCATAACCCCAATGCCACCATCATATCTAAGAAAATTAACAGTTCCCTAAGAACATCTAGTTATCCAGGCCAGAATCAAATGTACCCAACTGTCCTCAACATGGCCTTTCTAGTTGTATTTTTTGTTTTTAAACCAGTGCCCAGTCAGGCCCCGCACTTTGTAAAATAATACCCTTTTTTCAAGGATCCCAAAGACATTGAGCTGTCACCCTGGGATATGAAGCTGAGGCTTCGCCCCCTCTCAATGGTGAGAACAGAGCAGGTGTGGGCCCCTTACCTTCAGGAGGGACAGGGTCAAGGAGTCCTGGCAGCTCCGAAGCAGAGACTCACATTCATTCAGAGACTTGTTGTCCAATGCGATGCCATTGATCTAGGGCCAGACAGAGAGTCTGTCAGGCCCGCCAGCCAGGGCTTCTGCCTGCCTTCATCCCCTGATGGACTGGGGGCCTGGTTCCATAAGGCGCCAAAGTCAGGAGTGGGCAGAGGGAAAAAGTGCCCTTCCCAGTGAGGCCAGAGGAGCATCTGGGCTTTGAAGGCAAATGAAATACCAACACTTGATAACATTCTAGGGGAAGGAGTGTGTCCTTCTGGGATCAGAACGTCAAGGGTACAGGGGAACATCGCAGCCCTGCTGCTTCCTGCTGTGTGACGCTAGACCTTGGCTCAGAACTTCCCAGCCCTACTCCTTCAAGTCTGAAATGGAAGATAAGCACCTCCAGGAACTGCCTCCAAGGGGCAGGGCAAAGACTGAACCCAAGAACAGGGACATGAAAGGCCTTTGTAAACTCGAACCTCCCACGGGAAATGAAGTACTGTCGACAGGTGAATGGTTAAACTGTGATACATCCATACCATGAACACTACTCAGCAATAAAAAGGAACAGACTATGGGCACACACAACCACGTGGAAAGATCTCACAGTCACAATGCGGAGTGAAAAAAGCCAGCCTCAGAAGGTCATATACTCTGATTCCATTTACATAACATTCTCAAAATGACAAATTACAGACACGGAGAACAAATTAGTTGCCAGTGGTAAGGGACAGTGGGAAGTGGAGGTGGTGTCAGTATAAAGGTGTAGCAAGAAAGAAGGAGATCTCCGTAGTGATGGAACATTTCTGTATCTTCATTATGGTGATGGTTACACAAAATGTGAAAAAACCAAATAGAGCTATACGTACACACTGTACCAATGTCAATGTGCCAGCTTTGATATTATAGTTTACACAAGATGCAACCGTCAGGAGAAACTGAAGAAGAGTATATAGGACCTCCCTATATTATCTTTGCAACTTCCCATGAATCTATAATTATTTCAAATTCAAAAGTTTTAAAGAAAAGTGCAGAGTGATTATCTTGAATTAATGTGTTTTTCTTTATAACTTTCCCACATTTAAAAATTTTCACAATGGCCATACTGCTCTTCAACTCTGGCTCACCCAAAAATCTGAAAGACATTGGCCAGGACATGAAACACTGAGCTCTCCCATACGATGCAGTTAGTACAATACAGTTAGGCAGAAGCTCACATCGCATACTAAATACTCATGCCCACGGACCCAGCCATTCCCCCACCTAGGAATTTACCCTGTGGGTCCCCAGGGAGGGATGTGCCAGTGGCCATTCAGCACTACTTTTAAAGGCAAAGATGCCCTGTCCATGGCGGCGGGGGACGTGTGCTGGTTAACAGCTTAGGCTGTTAACTAACTGCCACTAGGAACGACCAAGGCAGATCTAAGATGTGAAAAAACGGAGGGACCACCAGGAAAAGCTGTTAAACACAAAAAGCAAGGTGAGTAACTGCTAATATGAGATCCCACCTGGGTTACAAAAAAAAAAATGTGGTAAATGTACATGTCTTGAACATTTCTGGAAGAAAATATGATAAATTGTTAACAATGGTTGCTGTCAGGGTAGGAAGTGGTAGACGGGGGGTCTAGAACCAGAGGAAGAGTTATTGCTACTATGTGCCTTTTGTACAATTGGAATTTTGTATGTGTGCCGTGAAAAGTACATAACATTCCCAATTTTAAATAGTTAGAAGTGTTAAATTTGCAGGCCCTATGATTCAGCAATCTCACAACATTTCTAGTTTATTCACCAGACATACTGCTAGGTGTCCCAAAAGTGGCTGTGAACACAGGAAAAGTTTACTGCGGGACTGTCTGCAGTTGCGGACATTGAAAACAAGTTATGTGTCCATCAATAGAGGGATGATTTAAACTATACATAATCAAACAACAGAACACCATTATCTCCATTAATCGTAGGTAGCTACGATTAATGGAGATTGACTTGGAAAGATATCCACAATGAGAGTGCAAACTGCAGATCCCATTATTATATTTAAAAAGCAAACAAAACCCACAAACCTATATATCTAGATTTGCATGAACACTTATGATCTGGGTGGTGGCAGAGATCATCTCTAGGAGCAGGATTAAAGGGAAAAAGAACCACCACCACTTTTCACTTTATATATTTTTGTATTGCTTGACTATTTTACAGCAAATAAGTCTTTCTTATTTTTAAGTTTTCTTAGGTAATAAAAAAACTTAAAAATAAGTAGGTATGTTTAATAGTAAAGATTTTTTAAAAATTATCCACAGATGATGTCAATTTATTTTTTAAAAATTGTCCTTAATATACATTCATGTGTAGAGAAATACATTTAAAATGTTAATAAAGGCTATCTATAGATGGTAGCGACGCAAGTGATTCTTATTTCCTTCCTAGATTTTTTTTTCTGTATTTCCTAATTTTCTACAGTAAATAGAAACGTACCATCAGAAAAAAAAATCATTTTTAAATATTCACACCGTGCAACGTCCAAGAAGATGAATATAAAAACTGTTCATTACTTCTTGTGCAAACCTCCTAAATGTAATCTGTCTATGTGCAGCAGATGGCCTTGGATCATTTTTAAATATTCACACCGTGCAACGTCCAAGAAGATGAATATAAAAACTATTCATTACTTCTTGTGCAAACCTCCTAAATGTAATCTGTCTATGTGCAGCAGATGGCCTTGGTTCTGTCTTGCGACTTACCGCGACAATCCTGTCTCCCACAGCAAGGGACCCTTCTTTGGCGGCAGGGCTTCCAGGCACCACAGAGGCAGCATATACTCCATTCTCCAGACTGATGCCACTGTCTGAAAGCCACAGGAGGTCACTGCATAACCCCTGGCCTGGCTGCCCGGCCCTCCAGTTGCCCCACCTCATCTTTGCAAACTAAAGTCGTAAGAGGAGATGTCAGCAGACATCTCACCCTGCCCATCCCAGCAGCTCATCTGTGTCCCACCCATCATGGGGCTCAGTCACATCTGGTCTGGTGAATCCAACACTCAGAGACAAGCACGACTCAAGACCTAGATAACCTCCTGCCAGGAAAGCACATGGTCTACATCCCAGGAATGAAGTGCTCCTGAAAACATACGACTCACCCTCCACAAGAAAGGACCCCCTACCCCTGAGGCACTCTGCCCACTTGCACAGGCCTGTTACCCTTCTGTCCGCTGAGGTTGATGTGCAGTGGTGTGACCACCTTCCCACCCAGGGACTTCCTGCGCCGCACAACCATGTTGATGGCCCCCTCCCCATTGAGGAGGGCCTTGACAGCCTGCTTCTTGTCCTTGTTGATGAGGTCCACGTCATTGATTCTCAGCAGCCAGTCATTGACCCTGAGCAAGGGCGAGGCAAGGTCAGCACCCATGCAGGCCTGGGGACCAGTGGGTAACCCCCCACCACTCCCATTCAGGGGGCCAAATGCCAAGAGGCTGGTGGCCCACATACACGTTCAGGAATGTTTCCTCTTCCAGAAGCACCTGATGGTTAAACTTGCAGGTGCTGGAGCTAGATAGCCTGGGCTCAAATCCTGGCTCTACCACTCACTAGCTCTGTGACCTAGCCCCTCTGGCCCCAGTGTCCTCATCTGTAAAATGGGGGCAATAGTTGTATCCACCTCATAGGATTGTATAGATTAATCAATTTATAGAAAGTGCTTAAACCAGTACTCAACACTGTATAAGTGTTAGTGATTTAATTATCATTATTATTTCATGGAATGAGCATGCAACACGTGCTGGGCTCTCACACATATTGCCTGAGACCTTTCCTGCTCAGAGAATCAGAAGACAGTGCCTGGTAACTGAAGAAAAATCAGATTCAGAGGCAACTGAGGGGCATGGAGTTTCCTTTAAGCTTAATATTAGCAGCTGAACCTGCAGGCCTCAGACATTCTCTGTGCTTTGCATATATTCATTTAATTGCTACTAGGTTCTCTCTGGGTCCTTCGGAGGCCGCGCTTTCCCTCCAGAGTCTGGGCCTCCTCAACTCTTACCTTAAGCGGCCATCAGCAATGCTTCCTTTGTCCACTTTAGTGACAAATATGCCGCAGTCCCCAGGGAAACAGGGTTCATTCACACCTTCTGCCATATCAAACCCAAGTGACTTCAAGTCAATATCCTCCTGTCAAAACAGCAGCACCAGTACACTTTACAAAGCAATGATGAGAAACTTTTGGCTCTTAAATCCCCAAGCCACTCACTCTGATGGGGGGAATGACCCTTCTCTTTGTTTGAGGGGGCACTGGGTCCCCAGGATGGAAATCTATGCAATCTGTCCCTTCGAACCACTGCAGACACACACCCCTGCCAGAGTCAACCGTGGCACTCAGCTCTTCCCTCTGCCTTCCACGCACTGCACCAGCGTCCACTGCGAGACACAGGACACACACCTGCTGCAACCCAGCTTGGACAGTGGCAGGGAAAGGATGCATTTGCAACACCTGGGAGGAAAAGCCGAACCTCCAAACTAGCAGCCATGAAACTGGGAGGCACTGCAAGAGGGCCATCCTCTCCTCTCCCATCCAAAGTCTTCCTGTCAAGGAGGGCAGAGGAGAAAACCATCAAAGGCAGCTCACCGTCTCCCTTTCGAACTCTACAACTTCTGTCTCCCACTCCATGGAATCCGTGTCAATGGCTGAGTCATGGGAGCTGTGGGCCATCAGCTGCCGGAACCGGGCCTCCTTCTCCAACTGGGATTCCATCTGCTCCCTGGAAACACACAGCACCATGGTGATGGCCCTTTGGGAGGAGAAACATCCACCTGTGCCACAGCCCCGAACTACACGGGTCATTATAGAGGCTAAATGGGGCTCCTCTCCTCCTCCTACTTCATCCCAGCTTCGGATAAGTAAATAAAGGGTCAGGTCAACAATTCTTGGATATCAATGTGTTCCCATAGTGGCTTTTACAAAAAGACAGAAATTCTCCCCAAATTTATCTAGAGAATTAATGCAATTCAAATCAAAATGCCAGCAAGATTTTTTGGTAGACACAGACAAAACTATTCTAAAATGTATATGAAAAGGAATTGGAAGAGTTAAAACTATTTTGAAAATGAAGAATAAAGTGGGAGTAATCACTCTCCCCAATTTTAAGACTTGTTAAATAGCTACAGTAATCAAGTCTGCGCAGTATTGTCAGGGAAACAGACACATAGGTCAATGGGTCAGAGAATAAGGAACTTAGAAATAATTCCAATGACTACAAAAGATGCAAAAGTAATTTCAATAGAGGAAGGACAGACTTCAACCAATAATGCTGGAGCAACTGGACATACAAGGCAAAAAAAACCAAAAAACAAAGAATCTCGATCTAAATCCCCTACCTCGAATAGAAATTAGCTCAAAACATATCACAGATTTAATGTAAAACATAAAATGACAAAACTTTAAGAAGGAAAATATAGGAGAAAATATTTGCACTCTAGAACTAGGGGAGGGGTTCTTAGGTGTAGCACCATCTACAAAAAGTTTTTAAAAAATTTGATAAATTGGACTTCATCAAAGTTAAAAACTTTAGCTCTGTGAAAGACCCAGTAAATAAATGGGCTGGGTAGTGAGCTCAATTGGTTGGAGTGCGGTATTTTAACACCAAGGTCAAGGGTTTGGATCCCCATACAGCCCACCACCAAGAGAAAAAAGAAAAAAATGAGGACGTAATAAAGAGGATGTGAAAAAAGCCTCAGAAACCGTGTCCTATGCCCCAGGGACTTGCAGTTCCAGGCCTTCACTTACAAGGGAATCCCTTGATTCCATCACTTGCTAGACCCGTCCCTGGGGAACGTCTGTCACTTTGCCTCTTAAGCCCTGAAATATTGCTCAGAGCACTCAACCTCCAGAGGGCGTGGGTTTCTACGTAATAAATGAAGCAGTCTGTCTCAGTAGGAGATGTTGCTGAACGGGGAGGAAAAGAAGCCATCACTCCCTTCTGAAAGGCGTCGCTCAAGCGTGCGAGGCTTGCACACTCGCCCTCACACACGCCAGCTTCTCACCACACACCCACCACACTGTCAGCTTAGGAACTGTCACATAGTGGACAAAGAGCCATTGCTTCCCAACTAGAGTCCGATTCCAGACTATGGTGACAGTTATAGGTTCTGCCAATGTCTATGTTAAACCCTGATCTCTGTATTTTTTTTTTTTTTTNACGCCACACTCCCAAGCGGCGCACTTCTCCAGTGCGCCACCGGGCCGGCCCATGATCTCTGTATTTTTAATCCACTGCTAAAGGGCCATCAAGTGTTTAGATGGCACCCTGGGACCAAGGAGATGTGGCCCAACACCCCAAACAGTCTTCCAAATGGGCATCCAAATAACACAGGCACAACAGACTGCTGAGCCACGGTTACTGTTGCGGTTGCCTTGGAAACATGAAATCCCAATCTGTCATGATGTTCTGCACATACGTGCCTGTCTCTGTGATAGACCTACCCTCGATCCATCTCCTCCTGTGCACTGCAAGCCCAGGAAGGCAGGGACTAGATCTGCTTGTTCTCTCTCCTGGGGCCTGGCCCAAACACAGAAGGTCCTCCCTAACACCTTGTGGAGTGAGAGAATGAGCAAGGGAGGAGGGGAAACGGATGGGTGGACAATACACGCCTACCTGTCCCTGAATGGATGCCTGGGAGCAGGGATTTTCTTTCCTATGTGCCTTGGCCCATGGCGCCTGTCCTTCCCCATGGGCTTCCCAAAGGGGTGGTGCCATCTTCTGTCCAGGTCTGAGAATTTCTAATTAACTCTCAACATGGAGATAGCATTAGGAGCCATTCTACAGGTTGCCAGACTGAGACAGAATGAAGAGACAGGCGGCCAGGTCTGCACACGAAGACAAACTACTGCACTCGGGGCTGTCTTGTCCTTGGGGGAGAGGGGGATGTGGTATTCTCAGGTGCACACCCACTCAGGCAAGCGCCCACCCAAGCCTACTTGAGCTCCTTAAGCTCCCGGCTGATGTCGTTCTTCTGCTTGCGGGTGTCATCCAGGCTGCGCAGGGCCTCGGCCAGCTCACTCACGGCCCGGTCCCGCTCCCGCCTCAGATTGTCACATAGGGTCCTGGTGGAAGGGGCAGAATGCAAGGTCACCTCGAGGGGCAGAAGGACAGCCTGGCAATCCCCACTCACAAATACCTGAGGGCACCTGCCTCATTCTGATGCACAGAAGGACCACCTAGGCCAAGCCCATAGCATAACAGGGAACACTGAGGATCTGGGAGGGGGAGAGACACCCTCTCCCCACCGCAGTCACAAGGCAACATGTGTCAGGTTCCCAATGTCCAGTGCTCATCCAGTTTCACCTTTAAAGTGCCTGGGGTTAAGGACCACCTTCCCCACACATCACTATTCTAACACCAACTTGAGGGAGGGAGCTCTCCTCTGCAGTGAAGCCCCCAGCCCCCCTGGCAGGCCCCTGTGCTCTGGCACCCACCATATGTCTCATAACACCCCACATGTAAGGCTTTCTGCAGCCGCCCCTCAGCCCACGACTAGGCTGGGAGCCCCACTGGGACAGAGTCAGTCCTCAGGCATCTCCACAGCCCTGAGTTCTGTGCAGATGCAAAGTGCAAGGTTGGTGTGATGCTGCAAAACGAGACCCTGGACTACCTAAGCCATTCAGAGGAGATTGGAACAGATGACCTGGCAGCAGGGAGGCCTGTACTCTGTGCCACCTCCAGAACTAAATGTATACAGAGGGCTGGTCCACACCTCTCCGCAGCCCCAAACCTCCCCAGCCTTGATCAGAGCCAAGCTCAGGATTATGCCCTGGAGAAGCCTGTGGTCAGAGCAAGAGCAAAGAGGGAGCACCCAGGCCTCGGTGCTCCCCTCTCACTCCCCAGGTCCTGGGCTCCCAGCTGCTCTCCATTAGCAGAGCCTCACACCCCATGTCTGTCCATCCCCATCTCCTGACCCCATCTCCCAGGGACACTGGTCTCTCCCTTGAAAAGGCACAAGAGATCTTTCAGAAGCCCCTCAATGACCAAGCAGTTGCCCCACGAGCAGTGCCACCACCCCATGTCCTCTCCTGTATCTACCCCAGCCCAGGGTCAAGTCCACACTCGGCTTACCTCTCGAGGCCTTCGCCACCTGTGCTAAGGAACCTTGTTAGCCTACCCTCCCCGTGACTCCCCAAGTGCATGACGGGCTCCGGCCATGCCCGTGCCGGCCCCAGCACACCACACAGGTTCCCTCAATCTGCCACACCCCTCCCTTTTCTCCACCTGCAGAAATCCCACTCATGCTTCGAGCTTGAGCTTGAACACCGCGCTTCCCGGGGAGATCTCCCCACACCCCAGATGTCCTCCACAGCCCTGGCTGAGGCCCTGGAAGTCACATCAAGCATCTTCCTCCCCACTGCCCCACCCGGCTTGAGCTTGAACACCGCGCTTCCCGGGGAGATCTCCCCACACCCCAGATGTCCACCACAGCCCTGGCTGAGGCCCTGGAAGTCACATCAAGCATCTTCCTCCCCACTGCCCCACCCCCACCCCGGCCAGGCTGCTCTATGGCCCCTCATGGCATCACATGCATCCTAGAGCTTCTCCCAAGGTCTCCTTGCTCAAGGGATCTAAGATCCTGGCACACAGTAGGCACCCAGTGGATACTGCAGAAAGATGTGTTTCTGATGTGCTGGTCTCATCAGAAGCCCTCAAAGAAAAAGAGGTTGGCCTTGTATCCTTCCCAGGGGCCTCACCTGGACACAGCACCCACTGGGGGCAGCCAGAGTGAAGTGAAATGGGAAGCAGAGGCACGACAGAAAATTCTAAACCAAGAGGCCAGGCTGGGGCATCATCTAGGTCCCTCCCGCCCTATCTGACATGATTCTGACCCTCACAAGAGAACTTAGTGCGTCCTGGGGAGACCCGGGGTCATGCCATACCGGATGCTGTCACGCTCAGCCACGATCTTGTCACGCTCCTGGAAGGCCCAGTCCCGCCGGCACTTAGCCACATCCGCCTCCTGGAGGGCTTCCTTCAGTTCCTGGCACAGAGCCTTACACTGCTTTCGAAGGATTTCAACCTCCCTGTTGGCTCTCCCAGCATCCACTGTCACCATGTCTTTGATCTGGTGGGGCAAGGGGAAGGCAGGGGGGAGGATGCTGAGCCTTCTGGACCAGGACAGCCCTTCAACCCATTCAGGGCTTGGGGCTGAAGCTCTAGGGAGCCGGACGCCTGAGCCCATCCCCCAAGCCCACTCCTGTACCCATACCCCACGGCCATGGCCCACAGTCAGATCACTAGTGATGCTAGGCTAGGGTCCCACTCAGAGCCTGGGCTGGGAGCCCAGCCCACCTCAGCCACGGTGTCACTGGCCCAGGTGGAACGTCTCCCACAAGTGCTTTGTCAGTCCCTACCCTGCCCTGCCACCTGCCTAGTTTATACCTGACCAAGCCCACCATGGCTCTCTAAAGAGCTCTCCTACCAAAGCACACTGACAGGAAGCCTGGCTGCAGTGAAGGGGACAGACGCAGGTCACAACCACTTCCGCCCCGTGTGTGCAATACCGGTTTTCACAATGTGACATACAAAGCTATTCCTAAAGACGAAAATACACCAGTATTTTTGTTGGTGAAGTACTGTGTATCTCAGTTCACTTAAAAAGCTGAAATCTGAAGCACTTGAATCCTGACCCCTTCCTAGTGGGTTATGTGCTCCATGAACATGTCCAGTCAAACTCTCAGAAGCACAGCATGGAATGTTCCCCCTGTGCCTTCACAGAACTCGGCAAACCCTGGGAAATGGCTGACAAAGTGAGGGTCTCCTGCAAGACTAACTCCTACTCCTGCTCAGAGGCTTTCCCAACAAGCACGTTAGAAGCATGACCACAGAGACACTGCAACAGGTGTCGCCGCTGCGGCACCCTCCACCGGCGAGTGGTAAGATACAGCAGGACAACCACATGGGGAGGACACCCCCTCTCGTGCCCCAGCTCCCTCTCCAGGGGAGGGCAGGAGCCGGATGCCCCTGCAAAACACCTTCTGGAAGCTCTCCAGGCTCCAAACGCCTCACCAGGATGAAGGAGACGAGAAGACCTGCACTCGGCTTATACCTTCCCTCACCTCTCAGGTACAGAGTCAGAAAGAGGAGGAAAGAAACTTGCACAAAACCCCGTCGTAACTCCAGCAGGACACAGTGGCGTGCTTGGCTCAGACCCCACGTTTCTCAAGATCATTCAAAATTACTTCAGTTTCCATTTTCTCTCCCACTTGTATGCACGAGCAAGTGCACACCAGCAAAGTGTTTGACTACTTTGCTGTTTAAAATAATTTTTTTCTTGAATTTTAATTTAAAAAATTAAGGAATTATTTGTATTAATTCTGTCAACGATTCATTATAATAAACTATAGGTTTAACAACCACATTTTTTTTCCTTTTTGTCTTTTTTCGTGACCGGTAACGGGATCGCAACCCTCGGTGTCGCACCCGCACCGCGCTCAACCAGTGAGTGGACCGGTCTGTATATGGGATCCGAACCCTCGGCGGGAGCGCCACCACACTCCCAAGCACCGCACTCTACTGAGTGCGCCACCGGGCCGGCCCAACAACCACATTTTTTACATTTCTATTTTACTCCATGTTTTATAATATATTGATGTATGATTTTATATTTGAAACGTGTTAATAGTTGGCTTCCCTGAAAGGTTTTTCCACTTTGCTCTGGATAATGACGTCGAGCTGTGGGCCAGGTGAACACAGGAGGTGGCGCTGGGGGGTGAGGCACCTCCCACCATCGCCCCTCCCCCCTTCCTCCCCACTGAGCCCCTCCCCATTGTCGACCTTCAAAATGAATTCACTCCACAAATACTGCTACCTTACAAGAAACACAACAACTGTCCTTGGCTTTAGTGAGAGGGCAGAGGAGGAAGAGGTGCCTTAAAAAGGACCATGGAATTTGCAAGCCCAGAGGAATCAAGTGTCCCCTTTTCCCTTTCTCCTGACCATAAAGACGAGACACTGCGGGTCTTGGTGGTACCACCTGCCCCCTCTCTGGAGAGGAACACAGAGAGGAGAGAGGGTAGACACCCAGGGAAGTACAGAGAGAAGGCAGGAGAAGCACAGTCTCAAAAGCCAAAAGCACTGTTCCCTGGGTGAGCAGAATGAAGACAGTTTTGCCAAGAGGAAGCAAGACTGCCTGGAAGGACCTCAGGCGACCCCAGACAGAGGCAGCTGCTGAAGAGGGTGGCTCGGTGCCCAGCGCCTCGCCATCCACACCAGAGCCAGACCCATGAGCAAAGGAGCCAGATGGCAGCTCAGAAGCTGCCAGGCAGTAGCAGGGCTGGGGGTTCTCCTCTGCTGCCTGCTGATTCGGAGCACAACTGGAAGATCCCACCTCAGCCAACACGCAGCGTAACACCTGGCCAACACCACTGCCTAGGCCAGGGTCCGGGCTCCAGGCCGAAGGGCATGCCTGAGCATTGGGGGACCAGCTGCTGCACACACGACAGGCCTCAGAATGAAATGCTCCCCATGGGACCCAGTACTGCAGGGGACTACGGAGTTCAGACTTCTCTGTGCTCTCACATTTCTACAAAGACTCTGCCCAGTCAACTTCTATAAGGCCAAATACCCATCCAAGTGGGCTCGCTGTCCTGCCACAGGCTCACCTTTTGTCTTTAACATTCTGTGACCTTTTAGTTGAGTTACTGACTTGGTCATTTTCAAAGTTTTCTTCTTCATTTTGCCTTCTTTGATACTGACATCTTCCCTGAACAATTAAGTGCTCAGATACCAGGATGTGAAAAGGAGTTGATTTTTCTAAGACAATTACCCAGATCTAACGCAGTATCTTTATCAAAAATTTCTGTAAGGGTGGGCGGTTGGAGGGAGGAAAACTGGTTAACTAATGGGGACCAAACAATGCAACCTACCCTAAGTGAATCACTGGACAGTAAACATATGTATTCCAACAACCTACAGTTCCCCCAAAATACATACAAATAAATGTCAAAATATTTTGAATTAAAAAAAAACTCACAGGGTTGGCCAGTTAGCTCATTTGGCTAGAGAGTGTTACTGCCAACACCAAGGTCCAAGGGTTGATCCCTGTACTGGCCAGCCCCCCTCCCCCTCCCCCAGAAAATTCCCTCACATAATGGTCGTTCCAAAAATCTCACCAAAGAAAATATTCTGATTCATTTTGGCATTCACCTCAATGGTCTGCAGAAGTTTCGGTATCTTTATATGAACTTGCCATTACTTGGCCCATTTTTCCTACAAAAACAGTTTCATAGGGTTTACCCGAATCCTAACGTGGCAGTAAGCTTCAGACAGGCATCCTAATAATCTTCATACTAAAAGACACTCTCAGTTCATTTGTACTTTGCATGGGCACTTTGCTAACTGCGTTTTCTGTAGGAAACAATTTGATCCTCATATCTACCCTATGAGGCAGATGCTATATGGTTGCCATTTTGCAGATGAGAAAACTGAGGCTCAGAGAGGTTAAGAGAGGTAAGAGGTCACATGACTCTTGCTAGTCTGCAAGCACAGGGCCTATGCCCACTGCATTCCCTGCAGCCCCTACCACTGCCTGGCAAAGTCACTGTTGCTAGAAAGACAGCCTGCTCACCCCTTGGGCAATAGTCCTATCTCAAGCCTGGCACAGAGGGATCTGGTTGTCATAATCCAGTGCACACCATCCCCGCCAATTGGTCTGACCTTTACCACCTTGCTTCTTGCTTCTCCTACTTTCAAAATCTGCATTCTCACTGACCCACACAGAAAAGCAGAAGAATAGAGATGCATCAATAGAGAACTATCTTGACAGAAAAGAAATCTGCGAAGATCGAGTCTAGGAGCTCTAATCGGAGCTACAATACTGACCCACAGGATGGGAAGGGAATGTCCACGGCCTGTCCAAGCCCCGGCAGGGCATGCCTGGACTCGGGGGTGAGCCACCATCACATCCAGGATGAGGTGGAGGTGGCTGGACGAAGAGGATGCAGAGAATCCACACTGATCACTCAGAAGCCAAGCTGAGTGGCCCAGTTCCCATGCGACTGAGCACAGCAGTCCCCGACCCTGTAGGCCCGGCCCCCAGGGAGCAAGGCTTTAGGAGAAGGGCCTGGGGCTCAGCTTGTAGCACATCTTCCCAGCAGGAGCCCAGACCACCCTGTTAAAGAGCAGACTGGGTGAGATGCACGTGGTTGAAGGAACAGAGCCCCTGAGGGGGCTCTTCCAGACTGACGAGGCCGAACGTACCCATGGTTTGGGGAATGTGGCCTCGGGATCTTGCTTCACATTGAACAAAGCCTTGAGATATCACTGACTTTCAGCACGAGACTGACGTACAACGACTTAACCGTGAGCTTGGGTGTGGGAGTGTCTGCGTGTGTCATCTGACTCTCTTCCTGGAAGGTAACCTCCAGATGTCTGGGACTGTGGCTGGACCTCCCCCTTGTCCCCAGGAGCCCAGAATAAAGCTGGGCGCTGAGCACGAGCTTGGGAGTTACCTGGGGGGTGTCCGATAAGCCAGCGAGCACTTAGGCCTAAAGGGGAACCGCTTCACTCCCACTCACAGCAGGCTTCTCATCCACACCCCGGCCACCCGCAGCCCCTGCCCCTCACCACCTGCCACGAGGCTGGCTGCGCCCGCCCGCCCGCCTACCTGCCGCAGCGCCTCCACCCCCTCGCTGGCCGCCTTCTTCTCACACGTGCTGCTCTTGAGCTTGGACTCGGCCAGCTCCACCTCGGTCTGCAGCTTGTCCAGCTCGGAGATGACCTGGTCGCGCTCGCTCATGATGAGCTTGTACTCGCTGTACACGGCATCGCGCTCTTCTTTGTACTTCTCCGACTCCTTCTCGGTTTTCACCTGCATAGTCCTCAGCTCCGTCAGCTCCGACTGCAGCAGCTCCATCTCCCACTGCAGGTCCTTGTTCTGGGCCGTGGCCTTGTTCAGCTCGTGGTGGATGGCCTCAAACCTGGGGGAGAAAGGCAGCCAGGACGTGGAGGGGTGCAGGGGGCCTGCCCGGTCAGCTGCCGGGCTGCTCAGCCACCTCCCGCCAGCTCCGCAGTGCTGGATGGTCCAGCGTGACAGTTACGGTGAGGTCATTCTCTGCAACACCCTCTCCCCAGCGAGAGAGGAAAGGCACAGAGCACCAGTGCCCCTGGACCTGGAATCTTTCTCAGCCTTTGACAAAGGCAGAGGATGAAGTGAGGACTTCATGCCCTCTGCTCTACTAGAAATGACAGCACGTTTCTTCCACAGCCAAGCTACATTATTTTTCAGAACTCATGAAAACAAAACAATGCCAGATCACAGCATGTGGGAGATCCACGTGGCCTTGATGATCATTTAGTCTGACCACTTCATTTCACAGATACAGACAGTGTGCCCTTGCCACATAGGCAGCGGGCCCAAGGTCATAAGGTTAGCTCAGGACCACAGCTCAGTCTTTCCAGGCCAGGGGCACCTTCCACATGGGCAACCTACAAACTAGAGCCCGCTGCCCCAGAGCGGCTTTTCTCAAAGCATTCTTACAACGCCAATCCTGCACAGAGCTCCATTACCAAACGTTGCGTGTCCCCTGATGACTTCTGTTTGGGAAACTCTGCATCCTGGCTTGGAGAGTCTAGTGCACACCACCACCACAGGGAAAGGTCTGAGAAGTCCTGCGCCACAGACACTTGTCTGGGTTCAACCTTGGCAACCGCCAAACTCATTCACACCCAAAGAACACTGTCAGTGTGAAACCACTGGACGCACCTGAAAACTGCTCTTCTGCAGGAACGTACCTTCTAAATCACTGTTTGAAGGTAGGAATCACATCTCTAAAGATGATATTCCTTCATAAAAATGAAATTTTAGAAGACACCAGGCCCTGGACTATTAGCTTTCCTGTTGGCGAGGTGGGTGACTGACATAGAGGGGGAGAGGCTCGTAGGCAGACCTAAGAAACAGGATGCTCAGAACACACCATAGTTGCTCAGAGGAGAGGAAGAAGCCACCACCCCAAAGACAAATTAAGTGTCAAGAAAAATGGTGTCATGGACAGAAATGGTTTTCGATTGAAAAAGCACAATAGCTTGAGCTGTTTTGATGCTAGCAGCAGCTGGGAGCCTTGCAGATGACTATAAGCCCACAAAGGAGAGAGGGCCTGCTATGGTTTGAATGTCCACCCTCCAAAACTCATGTGGAAACTTAATCCCCAACATGGTAATATGAAGAAGTGGAGCCCTAAAGAGGTGATTGGGTCATGAGGGCAGAGCTATTCATGGATGGCAGAGCCACTGACCCGTGCATGGACGAGTGGACTCGTGGGTTAATGGAACAGCGGGTTCTCAGGCGAGTGGGGCTGGTGGCTTCATAATAAAAGGAAGAGACCTGAGCAAAGACGTTCAGCCCCCTTTACCCTGGGATGCCTTTTGCCATGATGAAACTCTCAGCCAAAGCCCACCAAACGCTGGCCCCACAATCTTAATTTCCCAGCCTACATAACAGTGAGAAACACATTTCCCTTCTGGTAAATTACCAAGTCTCAGGTATTCTGTTACTACCAACAAAGCAAAGTAAAACAGGCCCTGCGGCAGAGAAGACCCATGGGGCACTTGGGCCATTCTCCATGTGGAAGTGACAGCCTGCAGCTCTGCCCCCTCCCCTGCTCTCCCACCCCCCAGCCTGGGCTCCTACTTCCTCAGGGAGAGGGCACATTGGTGCTGCAGCTGGATGGCTGTGTCCCTCTGCTGGGTCAGCATCTCCGTCTGCTTCAGCAAGCGCTGGTTCTCCTCCTCCAGCTGCTCCAGGCGGCTCAGGTCTGAGCTGTGCATGGCAACCTTCTCGCTGTACCTCTTCCGTAGGGCGTCGTAGTCCTTCTTGACCACCTCCAGCTTGTCTATGGCTGTGTCATACAGCTTGTTGAGAATCTCTGATGACCCGTTGTGCTTCAAGACCTGGGGGCCAGAAAGAGTCATGCTTGTGAAGGAGTGGGTGGCAAGACAAACCTCCTGTCACTTCTGTCTGTCCTGGGGTAGGACTGATGACAAGGCACGGGGTCACCCTCAGGCCTTCGAAAGCTTCGAGGTCCAAGTCTACAGGCCCTGCAGTCACACCGGGCTGATTTATTCAGATTCATTCATTCACAAATATTTATGAAGTATTGTGCAGAGAAAAGTGAACAGAGAAGGCCTGAGACTTTTCTGCTTACAAAGGTGGCTCTTGACTATCTAACACCCTGACTGGTCAACAATTCTCTAGGCTGATAAAACTTTCCCTAAGTGATAAGAGGGGCTCACGGTGCCTAGATTACAAACAATGTGGCCTGTGCTGAACACCTGCTTTCTTCTGGAAGTCTGGAATTTAGGTACATGCTAGGCAGAGGGCAGCACATGACCAGCCCCCAGTGGAGAACTTTGGCACTGAGTATCTAATGGCTTCCCTGGAAGCCACACTTCACATGTGTTGTCATGATCTTGTGCTGGGGGAATGAAGTGCACCCGGTGTGACTCCACTGGGAAAGGACTCTTGCAAACTGGGGCCTGGTTTCTTCTGGACCTCGGCCCCTGTGCCTCTTCCTGTCTGCTGATTTTGCTTTTTGTCCTTTCCTTGGGATCAATTTTAGCCAATGAGTATGATTATATACTGAATCTCATGAGTCCTCTTAGAATATCATAGAACCTGGGGGTGGTGCTAGAGACCCCCAGTGCAAGTACCTACTACGTTCTAGTATTATTCTAGGTGCTGGTGATGCTGGACAGGACAGAAAGAGACTGTGCCCTGTTGACCTTTTATCCAAATGGGAAGATGTAATCACACAGAGGCAGAGACACAGACCAAATGAAATAACTTCAGAGCATAATAAGGGCTCTAGAGAAAATAAAAAATTCCATAGGATAGTGGGCTGGAGAGAGACTTTTGAGCAGCAGAGTGGAAGGCTACAAGGGAGGCCAAAGCCTGGGGTGGCCTCTCTAAGGAGGAGACTTCTGAGTTTGGATGCAAATGAGGAACAGCACCGAGAGCACATCCAGCAGATGGGAGAGCATGTGCAAAGGCCCTGAGGCAGGAGCCACCAGCTCTGTTCTAGGAACTCAGAGAAGGGCACAGCAGAGTAGCTGGAGCCCAGTGCACAAGGGCCAGCAGGTTCTGAAGGAGGCTTGCAGAAGTGGGCACAGTTTCAAGGCTCACAGCCAAGGGTGTATCCTGAGTGAGATGGGACACCACGGAGGGGTTTAAGCAAGAGAGCACTCTACTGTAAGTTACAGGTACTAAAATTCATTTGGGGTGCTGTTCTAGTGACAACGAAGTCTGGAAGATGAATTAAGAGGTTATCAGGGGCCTGTTGACCTCTGCTAAGTACCTCAGGGGATCTGAGTCCTTGTGTGACATTCTACCTCTCTGGGTTAGTTTCCTTATTCCTTAAATGACAGGACCAAACCAGAAAAGCTTGCTTAACCCTTTTGGCTCCTACAATCCAGGAATCCCCTCTGGCTTATCCAGCATGGTCCCTGACTCATTAGAAGACCATTGCAGCTCAGAGAACCAGAACCTGGGACTATGGAATATTCCCTTTGGAGATAGGGTCAGTCCTCAATAAGCACAATTTACACTAAGAGCAAAAGAAGACTGAATTTCGAAAGTGCGATCCTAGAGACAAGGAAAGTGAGCACCTTCCTCTAAGACCTAAGCATTAGATCCTAGGACAGCAGGCTATTAGAGAGGAAGTCTAGCTCAGGAATCAGCTCGTTTCAGGCCCATTCTTCTTCCTTTTTCTTTTCAGTATTTACTTTCCAACCAGAACTCTTTCTTGAAAGAGAAATCTTATAGGAACACCAAAATACAAAACTCATTTTAAAAAGCAGTAGATACATTCTTCAGGCAGTTAAAATTTTCATTGTTTGATCAAAAGGCTTCAGGGTTGCAGAGGGGAATGCACACTGAGAAACAGAAAACCACTGACCAAGCCCCACCCTGTCACCGAAAATCTTCCTTAAAACATAAAAAGGAATATCTTCCAAAGAGACAGGAAAAACATAGCAAATAAGGGACTAAAATTTTATATGCCCACTGCTTAGCTCAAATCTTAATACCTTATTATATGTCTCAAATTGTTTTCAAGGAAATGAAACATTGCAGGTGCTGATAAAGCATCCAACTCATCCCTCCTATCAGTTCCCGTCTTCCCCGCCGTAATTCATCGCTTCTCTAAATTAGGTGCAGACGGTCGCCGTGCACAACATGCTATTTAACTACTATGTCTTCATAAAATCCCTGATGACTGCATATGGTAGCACCTATCAGTTCCCGTCTTCCCCGCCGTAATTCATCGCTTCTCTAAATTAGGTGCAGACGGTCGCCATGCACAACATGCTATTTAACTACTATGTCTTCATAAAATCCCTGATGACTGCATATGGTAGCGATTGTCTTCCTTCGGTGCTGCTTTGAGGCTCAGTCAAGTGGATGCAGGGACCATTCCACTATGAATATATCCCATGTGCCCCTTTTTCTGATCAAGTACATTCATACTGTCTCTATTTTTTTGCTATTATAAATGATACTGCTGTGAACGTGGTTGCATACATCTCTCCACATGAGGGTTTTCTCTGATCACCTGGGAGCAGCGTGGCTAAATGTCAGGATATGTTTTACTGACCATACCAAACTGCTCTCCAAAGTGGCTACACCAATTACACCCCGCTGCTGTGGGCAGGAGCTCTGAGAGTTACCGTCACAAACACATCGTAGCCAAAATGACGGGCGGTCAGATATTCTTAAGTTTTTATTTGTGGTAAAACATAGTAACATGAAATTTTCCTTTTCAAACACTTTGAAGAATACAGTTCAGTAGTGTTAGGAACACTCACACTGCTGAGCAACCGTCACCAACATTCACCTCCAGAAAGTTTTCGTCTTGCAGAGCTGAAACTCTGTATCCATTAAACACCTCCCATTCCCCTCCGCTCACCCTGACAGCCACCATTCTACTTTCTGTGTCTGTGAGTCTGACTACTCTGGATACGTCACATATGTGGAACCAAACGCGTTATTTTTGAGGTTGGCTTATTTCACTCAGCGTAATATCCTCAAGATTCATCCATGCTATAGCATGTATCAGAATTTTCTTTCTCTTTAAGGCTGAATAATATTCCACTGTGTGGATATACTACCTTTGTTGATCCATTCATTTGTCCTCAGACACTTGGGGAGCTTTCACCTCTTGGATATTTGGGAAGCAGTCAGGTATTTTTTAAAGTATTGCCAATCTCCCTGACAAGACAATGGTATATCATTTTTTTTTTTTAACATCCATTCCTGATTACTAAGAGACCGAGCAACTCCATTTATGCTTATGAATGATACACATTTTCTCTTCTATGAATTGCCAGTTCATCTCTTTTGACTTTTCCTCCCTCCCTGCCTTTCTTTCCCTCTTTCTCTCTCTCTCTCT